CTGTTGCACATAGAAGGCTTACCAATAAACTGCAATCTTTAAGTTTGGAATCCAGTATTGTTGAATGGGTAAGGCAGTGGCTGAGTGACAGACAACAGAGGGTTGTAGTTAATGGAATATATTCAAAGCTTGGATTTGTCACCAGTGGGGTACCTCAGGGATCTGTACTTGGACCCATTCTCTTTAATATTTTTATTAGTGATATTGCAGAAGGTCTTGATGGTAAGGTATGTCTTTTTGCTGATGATACTAAGATATGTAACAGGGTTGATGTTCCAGGAGGGATAAACCAAATGGCAAATGATTTAGGTAAATTAAAAAATGGTCAGAGTTGTGGCACCTGACATTTAATGTGGATAAGTGCAAGATATGCATCTTGGACGTAAAAACCCAAGAGCAGAGTACAGAATATGTGTCACAGCTGTGGGAGGGGAAAAGGGCGGAGTAACATGCGTCCTGTTACATGATTGGCAGCTGAAAAAAAAGCGCGTCACTGAGATCACCGTACAGACTGCTGACAAAAGTGAGCTTTCATAGTCAGGCTAGCTGAAGGCAGACTGTGAGCTGCCTGACTAGGTTTGCTCAGCGTAGCTTTGCCAGTAAAGGTTTGGGGTGTCGTACTGTTTCCTCGTATAGTGTGTGAAATCCCAGTCAGCTCTGGTCGGTCACTAGTTCTGTAGTGCAGGAAAGCATGGAAGCCGTTATTTTTGTTATTTTAATAATGGAAACAAAATATTTGAAATGGGTGTAATTTTTGGCAGATTTAACCTTTTTTTCGGCCGAAATGGGATAGGCCCATTTTCGGCTGAAATTTCGCTGCGTCCCTACAAGCTATTGAGTGTACATACTTGGACTCTCTCTTGGAAGAGGATAAATATCCTTTCTACTTGTGTGTGCAACTTGCATTGGACAGTTTGATATAGGAACGCTTGAAGAAACAATGTAAATGATCTGATTGACAGCAATGAAAAACAAAAGCATTTTTAACATTTAAAGCTATTTAAGAGGTATAATTTCAAAGAGAGTGTTCTTGCACCATTACCACAGTCAGTAAGCTTGAGTGGTTTTGTTGTTTAGACAGACCCGTTAAGCTGACCTGGGATTTCGAGACTTGGTTCACTGCAAGGAATTAGTGCAGGCTTGATAGTTGAGGAAGCCCCAACTATGTCATAAGAGCAAGATATTGCATGCAGTGGTAGCTCTCTCTACTGAAATCTCCCATTGTTGTTGCCTGACTAGCATTAACCAGGCAGCAGAAACAGGGACAACTAATATTTCCGTTTGCTAAGTAAAGCTGACATGTCGGAGTGGGACCAGGAACTAGAACAGCAAATATGAAATAAATGGAGAAGGAGACTGATATGAACTTAAATAGACCAGGTCCTACCCACAATTCCATGCTAACCATTTAGTAACCAGTAACATATGCTACAGTATTCACCTATCGCGTGCAGGAGAACTGGAGAATATTTTATGTTCTTAATCCTTAAATAAGTCATATTTTTTTATCCACACTGATAAGAAAAGACTGCTAATTAATAGCATGACAATCATTTTCTGTTTGTTTGGAAGTATATGAACCCATGATAATGACGTGTTTTTCTTTCTACGTTAATCCTTCCTCATTCTGGTGAGTTCAAAAAACTAATTCTGTTGTGACTACTCCTACACCATGAAATTTGTACTATTAGATTATATACAAATTAGATTATGTAAGTAGAAAAAACTGTCCTAAAGGTTTTTTGTTTTTTTTTTATAAATTATCAGATATGTTTAATGGGAAAAGTACAAATTCCAAATCTGCAGACATAGAGAAAACAATAAACATTTTAGTAGACTAAAATAGATTTCTGCACTCAACTCAATATTAATTATTTTTGAATTATTTTTCTACATTATTTAGGCAGCACTATTAATCTTCCATGAAGCAGGACATGAATATAGTATAAACCTATAGAGTTTTCATGCAGCCTGGGGACAAGACGTTTGTGTCCCCTTGTGCTCCAGTGTTGGTTTCATAGCTTACGGTAGCACATTTATTCGTAGTATGCAGCAATGAGTTTACCAGTTTCTCATACTTGAATATCATCTTTCAACATTACTATTTGAAGGGTAAATCAAATAGCTCTTTCAAGTACGATCTACAATCTATCTACCATAGTGGATTACCATAACTTCTCCATTAAGTATAGAAATCCTATATGGTTCTGTATTTAGTAAACTTCCTTCCGGAAATCGGATAAGGAAAAAGAGGTATTTAAATAAATTCAGCTACTGTTACATGTTCATAAGCTTCTGTATGCAATTAGAAATAAATTATACAGTACTGCACAATATAACTCCTAGATAATAATATTCATATGTCTTAATAAACTGTCTCAGACGGTTAGCCTGCCTATACAAAAACAAATTAATTTCCCTCTACTATTAGGTGATGGTGCTCTGACACAGGCACTACACATGCACAATACATCATCATAAAAATGCTGCTGTACTCAGATTGCCTGAAAATAGCTGGTGAACAACCAACTCCAATTTACTTTTTCTTGGTTCGATAGTTCTACTCAGAGGAGATATGATTGAAGGGACACTATAGGCACGCAGACCACTTCAACTCATTGAATTGGTCTGGGTGTATAGTCCCAGGTGCCTTAACCCTAGTAGGCTAAAATTAGGGCAGATGTTCATCTTTTGAAACTAAATAAAATAAATAAATAGAGCATGATTTACTCATAAAGGAACAAAAATAAATACTTTCATAAGTTGTTATGTTAAGTTATGGTTTATAAGGACTTTATAAATGCCCATAGATCCAAGGCAAAGGTCCAGAGAAGGGCGACCAAAGTAGCATTTTTCAGGTAATCTTTGGTGGCCATTGAAAAGTAAGAGGATAATAAAGGTCAATTAATTAAATTAAAAATGAAGAGGTCTGGATGAGAGCAGAAGGAAGGAATTTTCCCTGTTTTTAGCACAATTGGAAATGTCTTCAGTCTGGGTTTCTTTATCCTTTTTGATCAGCTCTAGAAACAGATGTGTGGACAGTTGAACTTGATAGATGAGGATTTTTTAAAGTTCGGTTACTATGTTATGTTGTTACTTTTTAAATTGTCATCAGTTTCATAGATTACGTGCATCTCGCCAGACTTTGTGGTGCATAGGTCTTCTGACAATTTACACTTTATAAACAAATTAGATAAGCTACTTGTGCTCTACTCATAGGCCAAAGTATATACCGGTATGTTAAAGATACATTTTTAGTACTACTGCAATAGCCATCAAAATGTAAGCTAACACAGCAATTTTCTTCCGCTGGTAACAAGAAAAATAAATAAATAAATAAAACAACATTAAGTAAATGCTGGCACTAATGTGCTTACTACATAAAACAACCTTCAATATAAAAAAAGACTAAATTAATTTTCAGTTTTATAGAATGATTTTATAGAAATTGACATATGACTGCACATATGTGAACCACATGTGCCCTTCAAAAATATTTTAGCATTTGAAGTAGAAAAACTGGTGTAATTCATGCTGATGAGATTCCACTATAAAGGAAGTCCATATCATTTGATCACACAGAATGATTTAAGCCACAACAGCTGCATAGTTTGTGGTGTTCATTGATGTCTCACAGCATTTTACTTCTCCGTCATTCTGCTCATCATGGACAAAAGTAGATTAATAATGATTTATATTGGTTGAGTTTTATAATTTCTCAAAAGAGAATAGAGGATTCCATCTCATACTGACAATTATTAGTATGACAGCTGTCGAAGAGAGGGGCATCGAACTTCTTACTGATTAGTTAATGGAATACAAAACTGTATTCTTAACACTATAATGTACCCCTGCTCATCCTCACATCCACCTACAGCAGCAAATAAAGGGATAATCAATGCTTTCCTAAGACGCTGGATGTACTCATGTAAGGCGTGAGGACGTCCAGTGTCATTTCACAGCGTTCCTCTGTGAAACTGCAGGAAGCTATTCTATTTCTAGATCCATTTTAGATCCATTGTTCTAAGATCATTTCTCAGACAATATGTTTTATATGTATACAGAAACAAAGAGCTCTAATAGATGCTCTACCTGAAGGGTGAAGCTGCTAAATACTGGCATGTATAAGTGAAAATATTTTTTATGTATAGCGGTAGAAAAAGAAATGATTTAAAATGGTCATAGACTCTGCTTATGGGTATTTGTCAGTGACAGTAACTTAGTGATATTTTGGGGGTTGCCGCATCCTATAAAGTCCACTAGAATGTAAAAATATTGTCTTTGTGTTTTTAAAATCAATCAAAAGTGTCAAAGATTCTACTTGCGGGTATCACATGAAACATTTTAACCTCAAAGTTGCTTTCACTGGCAATGTCCACTCACCCCCAGTGACATCCGGCTGGACAGGCATGTTTCTTTCCAAGCCAGTTTTGCGAATGGGGAGTCGCTGATTGACTGAGAGCATCAGCTGGCAGCTCTCAACCAATGAGATGGCACTCTGCGCTTCCTGAAAGGGACATTTTAGAAGACAGATGCCATTGGCGGGGACGTAGAAGTGGACATCACCACATGAGGCAACTTTGGGGTTAAACCATTCAAGTACGGTTTAATCCCTTGTGGTAAGAGTACCCCCAGGGGTCTCCTGGCAACATGACTTAATTTAGATAAAGTGGTTTTGTTGCTTGGAGTGTCCCTTTAATGTATTGAACCTGCACAAATCTTTTTCAAATTTGTCAAACTTAGCAGAGAATGTTTCCTACCATTTGACCATACAGTTTGCAAATTGGTTGTCAGCTCTCTAACAACAAAGTCAATAACTTCAAATAGATAATAATAAACCAACAAATAATTGCGACTTTTAAATTAAATTATGGTCAAACAAATATTTAAGATACAATTGAAATATACCTGTGTGTGTATATATATATATTTTTTTCTATCCTTTAACAATCCAAAATATATAGGCCTTTATACTTAATTAAAAAATATGAAATGTTTATGGCAGTGCATAGAATTCTTTATTTATAACAATAAAGTATATGTTTACAAAGCAATTCCAAATTCAAACCAGTAAAAAATAAATCAGGACATACATACATTTTTAAACAAATATATACATATTATAATTTATAAAAGTTTTTTTTTTGTCAATCTTTTCTTTTGGCCTGCAGTTAGAACACAACTATTTGAACTGTAACATTAAAAAGTGGTCATGTAAAAGTTACCTGCACAGCTGCTGTAAACATTCTCAATTTCACAAGTGCCAATGAAGTAATATATAGATACAGGGTAAGTCAAAAGTCAGAAAAGCACCCAAAATACCGCTAACACCCTTAAAATTAGATAATATTGATATTGAAATACTTATATAGTCTGCTGTATATAATAAGGAAAGTACCAAATGGCAAGGCAAATTGAATAGAATAGGATTCATATCCTTGAAACTCTAGATTGGCAATTGATGAGTTTTTATACGATTCCAAAAATACGATTGCAAAAATCCAAAAATGTAAAAAAATTACAAAAATAATCAACATAAAAAAAAATCCTAAAAGATGTTGTGCATAATTTATTAGACACAGTTTTTATGAAGATGCGTGCATATTACCATCACAAAATATAATTACTAAATTACTGAGAATTGCTCAGTCGAGAAACATTTTTAGATTTACTATATGTACGTGAAAATATGTATACTTCCAGAAAATGGAATTTCCTTCAAAAACATTCATACTAAGAAAAAAAAATGAAAAAGTTCACGGTGTTGTTTACACTGATTTTGTTTATGGTTTTCAAATTTTCGTTTTTGTGATAAATTGTTTTGTCTCTTGATCGTGTCATTGGAGATGGCTGGATATTGCTTTTATTGATTTTGCTGGTTCGTATTATTCTACAGGTGTTAACAATAAATAGAGTATATTCAAAAGGATAAAAAGTTATGTTTAATTGAGACAGATTGATGTAAGTGTTATTTATCAAACTCAAATAAAAGTGGGGCTCTTAGAAATGCAGCTACAACATTTTTCTTGCTAAAAATAATATTTCAGTTTTGAAATTGAATAACTTAATGTGTTTTTTATATTAAAGTTATTGCTAAAGTAAAGATGTATGGCCCTCTTAATCAAGCTGCAGCACTTAAACTCTCCAGTTTTCATAACGGCTGGCTGATGTAAGCATTAGCAAAACTGCTTTAAAATGTATAGACTCTCTTAAATAGCTATGTACATGGCATATAGGAATGTTTGTTCTATTGTTTATTTATTTTTACTTTCAAACACTAGACTTAGAGGTTCCGCAGTTGTGATGCCGTTGATTGTTTTTTGTTACTTCTATGTGCTATTCAATAATTGTGTGGTTTACCACTTAAATAACACTCCAAGCACCAGAACCAATATAGCCTGCTCTAATGGTTTGGTGCCAGAAGTACCCTGGTGCTGTCCTACATTAAGATGTTAAAGCGTTTTAGCATGGTTTAACAAGTTACTTGGATCCCAACTGGCGTTCGTTCAGCATTCGCTGCATCAAGTCTTGTCAAGCAGAAGAAGCCGTCTCTGTAAAACAAAGCATGGCCATGCAGGAGTATGCCCGTTGGCTGAAAGCATCAGATGAGTTTTCTCAGACATTAAAGGGAAACTATAGTGCCAGAAAAACAAACTTGTTTTCCTGACACTATAGCTTCCCTATCTGCCAAGGCCCCCTCCCGCAGCGCTGAAGGGGTTAATAACCCCTTCTGTCACTTACCTGGGTCCAGCACTGATGGCCCTCGGTGGCCGGGGGAGACCTAATGCGCATGAGCCGATAGGAAAGCATTATTCAATCCTTTCCTATGGGGAAAATCTGACGCAGAGCGTATGGACATTCAGCTTCAGATAACGGACCAAAAGTCAGTTTCAATTCCGCAAGTCCCTCTAATGGCTGTCTGGTAGACAGCCACTAAAGAAGGAGTTATAACTATTTATAAAAACTGCAATAATTACTACTGCGAGGTTAAGGGTGATGGGAGTTTGCACCCAGCCCACTTCAATGAGCTGAACTGGTGTGGGTGCCTACAGTGTTCCTTTAAGTGCGGTCTTGCATGGTCCTGCTTTGCCCTATATAGACATACATTGCAGTGAGCTAACAAATATGAGCTGTAGTAAGTTAACAACTGATTTCAGTAACTTAAGCAAAATTAGCCAAGTTGGAAAAAATTGAAACTTGATAGAATTGGATATTTTTTTTTCCAGTTTCAAAATGTTTGCCTAAATTGTGTAAGCTAGTTGCTTAATTCAAATTTTGCCGCTCTACATGGTGCTACCACTGTTTAATGAGTTTGGTATTCCAATTTGATTTAGGATCCTTAAAAGCTGGATTGGTATGGTGGATTATTTAATCATGCCCTTAAGAGGTTACTTTACATTTTATTTAATGTCATAAACCGAATGATCAATATTCAAAGAAACAAAAATGATTAATTTAGAGTCATATGTTCAGATATCAGTGTATGATGTACAACAATATAACATGTTTTTAGTAGCTTAAAGGACCACTCTAGGCACCCAGACCACTTCAGCTTAATGAAGTGGTCTGGGTGCCAGGTCCTTCTAGGCTTAACCCATTTTTTCATAATTATAGCAGTTTCAGAGAAACTGCTATGTTTATGAATGGGTTAAGCCTTCCCCCTAATCCTCTAGTGGCTGTCTCATTGACAGATTAATTTACGAGTCATATTGTTCAGATATCAGTGTATGATGTACAACAGTTATTACCCCTTTCCCCTTTCCAGAGCCGGGCGGGAGGGGGACCCTGAGGGTGGGGGCACCCTCAGGGCACTATAGTGCCAGGAAAACGAGTATGTTTTCCTGGCACTATAGTGGTCCTTTAATATAGTCAACAAATGTCAAACTTGTATAAAAATCAGGGTCTTTCTTTGAAAGGGGATGTTATTGGCAACCAAAGCAATATATCTATATGCACTATGGAGATAATCCGTGTGAAGTAGTGGACTGTACATTTAATTTTAAGAAACCTTATATGATAAAAACTCTCACTTGGTTGGTGATTACTTATATAAGAATGCTCTGTTTCATTTTACTTGTAACACACATTCATTCTTTCCTCACTACACAGAAATCGATGTTTTGTTGTTGTTTTTTTAACAGTTGTTTCACTGTAGATATAATTTAAAAAAAAAACATAAAAACAAAGCATATACCAGTACAAAACAAAAAAACAACACAGATTATGTAAAATAAAAATTTATATAAATGGGGGGACTATATTTGCCATAAAAATATTATCATTATGTCAGTGTGTAAATGACCACAGCATAAAATGAGCAAAACATTCTGAAATAAAAGCATGCTAACAAATTGTACTACCTCTTATGCTGTAAGATTAAGTATTTATCAGATTTGCAATAAAGTATTTAATAATTTCTACTATAGTAAATTGTTGCAATAAATAATTTAAATTTGTATATGTACACAGACCATTTTATGATATCTTGTAAGGTACAAATGAATGCTTTGTGTAGGTTTTTTTTTTCTTTTTTTTTGTTGAACTACACAATAGTAACATTTGCATTCCACTCCATCTATACTTTAATACAGTATTCATTATGCTATTTTTATTGCATTTAAAAGTATGCAACTAAAATGTTCAATGTTACTGTTGGTAAATAGATCCTGTTATTCATATTTTGGTCATATATATTTTATAATCATTTTTGGAATAATTTATAACAAACCTTACACCCCCCCTTTTATTTAGCCATCAGAGAGCCACAACTCAATTTAAGTGGTACATAACATAATACTTTATATACAGAAATGTGTGTCCATTATCAAAAAATATATTTATATGTGAACTTAAAAAAAAAAAAAAAGTATATATGTATATCCTGACTGTTGTGCTAGCTTTGCTGGATAATTGCTTTTTGTTGCTAGTCGATCCAGAAATATCGAGGAAGGCAGATTTGCTGTAAAAGAATCTTTGTATTATTGTGAATGAACTTCATTCTTCAACTGTGCCATCATTAATATCCACAGACAACATTCCTCAAGTAGAGGGCAGGAACTGGGAGTATATCAAGCTCACACAATATGTGTCTTCCATCATTCTGTGTCCTGCATAGTTTCAAAATCCAAAAGGCAGAGAGAGGTGGTGATAGCTAGCAAGGTCATTTTAAAGAAATCTTTAAAAGTTTGTAACCCAAAGCAAAACACATCTATGTATCCAGTGAACCTATGCTTTTCATATGTTCTGCCAAGATAGAGATATTCTTCAAGAGAAAAGAGGAGCCTTTCAAGCTTTTGTGTGTAGCAAATTGTCTGATTCTTGGTGGAATTGAATTTAGCCTAATGTACCAAGCAAGGTTCTTTTCAGCTGACGAGGCAGAAAGAATAGGCATAAAATGCACTCCATCCAGCAGTGTACAAACGCTCTGGGCTAAGTTGTTGTGGTGGTTGCTGCAACAAAGTAAGTAATCTCTACACTGGTGAGAGTCTTAAAGTCTGTCGTTGCAGAAGAAGAAGGCAAAGTTTCACACTACTCTGGTCAAGAAGAGAACACACGGTTGCCTGTTATATAAGAAAAAAAAGATAATTTTTACAAACTAATGTTTTAGTATTCGTATACAAGAAAAGTTACTTATGAATTCCTGATAATTCACGCTTTAGTGAATAACCCCATGATATGTTGTCAATGTGGCTAATTTGGCCTAAAATTTGAAATTCACTTTGAATTCATTACTATAATTTGCACTTCAATTAATAACTTTCTCATAGTCAGTAATGCTGCAAAGTAACTTCAACTCTGCAAAATCAAGGAACCACACATAGATACAAACAATTCGGCAATGTTCATGTTTATGATCAAAACATCACCTAACTTACATGCAAAAATGGTAGCTACACACAATTTGAACCAGGACTGTACAGATGCAGCTGTTGAGTGCTGCTGATTGCTAAATTCCAAATGACTAATTATTAAATACTGTTTATTTTCTAGACAAATTTTGTCTCTAAGCTGTCTCGACTGTAAGTAATAAAACTAAAACACTTCCCTACCCTAGGCACACTAGGCTTAAGACCAAGCGCTCACTCCCACCACCCAAAACTAAATTCCCTCAGTTCATGGACCAATACCAATCTATGCTAGACACTGTCTGTTATGTTACACCGACTGTGTTTGATGACATGCATAAGTTGCTTCTCTTCTGTAATGCTTTTTATTAAGACTATGACGTGAGTCAAAATTAAAGAATTTAAAAAAAAACATTAAAATACTTCCCTAATATTTTAATTTGACACGTTATTAAAATATTTTATGAACTCTCTGACTGGCACAAGATCTTACACATTGCATTACTCTGTAGCACGTTGCCCAGTTATTCCTTTATTCTAATAATTAAATGCAAATGATGAACAAAAAGCATTAATAATAAACTACATTTTATAAATGTTGGCAGAAAACATGGCTGGGTTTAATTTACTACACCAGTTTTACTTAAAGGGACACTACAGGCACCCAGAAAACTTCCTCTCAATGAAGTGATATGATTGCCATGTCCCGCTCGTGTTAACTCTGCAGGTTAAAACATCCTAGTTCTGCAAGAACAGCAATGTTTGCATTGCAGGCTTTAAATGCCTCTTGTGACTGTCAGTCTGACAGCCACTAGAGGCGATTCTTCCAAAATAGCTGTGTAAAACCTGGCTCTTTCAATCTTTCAATGGTCTCACAGAGTGTTGATGATCTTAGCCAAGAATGCGGACCAGCCCTGAAGAGAGCAGCACAACGTGGGATAAAAGGTAAGTAACAACGTTTTAACACTGGTGGGGGTGTCACCTAAATGGTGACTCATATTACAGTAGTGTAAGGAACGGATTACTATATTTATTACATGTATGGATCCTGTTGTAATTTGCACAGTTTGTTTAAACCAAGTATGTTAATTAAGTATGTTAATGGTTTAATTGATTCTTTAATTATTTTCTGACTTTGTACACACTGTTTGCTATATATACACTTATGCTGTTCTGTGGTGTTAGCTTGACAAAGAACTCTTGTTAGGGCGAAACATTGCTGTCTATCTTTGTTTCAATAAAACTGCCTGCGGCTTTAACATCTTGAGTGCCTGGAGATATTTCTTCTATTGCTAAACGGTGACTAGAACACAATAGCATTAGAAATACACATGAGCATGCCTAATGCTATAGTATACCTTTAAATAATTAGTGTTAAAGACTATAAAAGTGCACCCCAAGGACTTAGAAGACCTTCCTCTTTCTAATTAATTAAAGGGACACTATAGTCACCTGAACAACTTCAGCTTAATGAGGTTGTTCAGGTGAGAACTATAGCTCCCTGCAGCCTCTCTCATGTAAACACTGTATTTTCCGAGAAAATACAGTATTTACATTGAAAGCTAGGAACACCTCCAGTTGCAGTCACTCAGAGTGAACCAGACTGTGATTCAGTATCTCCTCCCACTGCATGCAGACACTGAACTTTCCTCATAGAGATTCATTGATTCAGTTCATCTCTGTGAGGAAATGCTGATTGGCCAGGGCTGTGTTTGAATCATGCTGGCTCTGCCCCTGATCTGCCACCTTGTCAGTCTCAGCCAATCCTATGGGGAAGCACTGTGATCAGATCAGGCTATCACATGTCAGCAGACTGCTTGTTTTTCCTGCGTCTAACAGCATGCAGATTTACAGCTTCTGGCTTGAATACAGTATGATTTTTACTATATTTATGGAGGCATGAGGGGTCCAGGGGGGCTAGATGGTCGTGTTAACACTATAGGGTCAGGAATATATGTAGTTGCACTGGTGACTATAGTATCCCTTTAAGGTGTTGCATTAAAAAAGATTAAAAACCACCTATTTATATTTTCAAATCTAAATACCTCTCTAGGGAACAGGATGTGGCTGAGATTTACCAGATAACCCATTAGCGTGATGGCTGTGAATGAGAGATCTACAAATATCAACCATGCTCAGCTGTTGTTTATGGTAGTAAACAACAGCTGAGCAGTAGTTGCACTCATGAAAACACATGAATGACACTATTGCAGAAGTCACAGTCATTATTTTCCATACAAGGTGTGTGAGTTGTTGACGTGCAAGAATTTGCACAGCTCGTTCCCATGTCCATGTGACTGCTATACATCCATACAGACATATCTTGTGAACCACAACCTTATTGCTGCACGGAACTATCAAGTATAAACTGGGAGACAGGGCACCATAATGTAAGGAGCAAAGGTGCTTATGGTGCTTAAACTGTCCCTTCCTTTCATTCAGGATTACTTTTGATTGAACAGCATCATCACAAATGGCAAAAGACATATTGAACAAACACATTTTAGCTCAAGTAATGACGGATTTTTAAAATCTCCAATCAGTAGCTATATCCAAAATTTTCATTCAATAAACTTTGAATTCTAGCAAATGAAATTAAAATTTTTAAATGTTTTCCATGATAGCAGATCTAGAAACTGACTCCAATTCAATAAACGTTGACATTTATTGAATAAACCCTAAATAATCAAATCGAAAAGTGCACTGGTAGCTACCACCACATGTTTCTGAAAAGAGAACAAAAATCCCTGTCCACTTGGTAGCAGAGATGTTCTTTCAAGCTTAACTATGGAGCTACATGCTGATTTAAGAGAGCAAAGAATCTTCAAGGAAAAGTAAGTTCTCCGAGAGATCTGACTCAACATGTATGCATCATGTAAACAGAGTCTAAAATGTTTTAACCTTGTAACCCCAGAATTTTTCTAAAAAAAAAAAAAATTTGCATTCTAAAAAAAAATAAAAAAAACCTGCTTACCAGATAATGCAACTGCAACTTCTGGAAAACCACATTATATTATTATATCAGAGCATCTGGCTGTAACATGCTGGAAAATAAATATGTTAACAGTTAAAAGCATGATCTATACTTAATAATATATATAGTTCATTTAGTTAAATGAGGAAAGGCATTTTGGTTTTGCATATAAATCTATGATAATAAAATAATGGGTGAAACATAAAATATTATTTTTCTAAATAACAACCTTTACGATCAGTAGATAAACCAAACAAAATGTATTCATTGCATATTATTTTTTTTTATAAAATACTAATGGAAATAATGATATAGAACAGTGGGAAAAAAAATGTTAATCCATTTTTTATACAACTATGTGGGTAACCATAACAATTATTAATGTTTAGCCCTGCTATTAATATATAAATATATATTGATTCTAAAACAGCTCAGACTGTTGAGGCATTCAAGCTCCCATGATGCTTTGCCAATCAATGGCAATGTAGTTGCACAACAGCTACAGGTTTATACAATAAACCATTTTGGCCAATTTGTTTTATCGTATTTCGCAACAATATATATTTCCAGAAGAATAAGGCAGTAGAACAAGCGGTATTGGATTAACAAATGCCAAAAACAAGGTGGAAGATGGAACACAGACAAGAGGACAAAGATAAATGAAGAAGCAGGAGTCGACGCGTTAAAAAAGTAAGAGGTAGTATGGAAAAATTTGAGGAAAGACAGGAGAGAGGGGACAAGAGGCTAAGACAGAAGGCAACATTTAAAAAAAGGTAAAAACGAAAAGAATCAATAAAAGAATAATAAAGTGATCACAAAATCAATTAAGATAGCCTCATTTATTATAATTAATAATAACTGCTATATTCATTTAAACACTTACTTGTTTGATTCATTAGAATCTCTACTTTCACAAAAGGCTGACGTTCCCACAGATTCTTTTGGCATTGCTCTGTGCTTGACCTGCATAACAAATAAATACAGTAAGCCTATGTTCCTATAAGTAATCCTAACATTTTAATCTGTTAAGTTTAAAGAGTTACCTACTTTTCAATTGAAAGAACATTTGCTTACACAAGTTTAATATTAACAGTATGTCAGTAGCTACATTTTAGAATTCTTCTAGTGCTTTATGTACAGTTTTAGCCTTGTGTTGTCTCATCAGCTGTGGGGTTATAAACAGAATTGATCTTGTTTTGTTTTTCCTTTTTTAGAGGTGAATTTCAAGAGCAACTGTGATATATTGAAGAAAAATTGTCTTTCTTATTCTTTGCACATACTGTAACCTCTAGAAAGATATTTCACAACTAGAGGATGTTTAACACACTACAACTCTCTAAATCCCAATCTTCACTAGCACACGTAGCTTTTGCAAACAGGTAGTGATGCCTTATATTCTATACAAATCAAGAGACAAATCACAATATTCACATATAGGATAACCGAGAAAAATGTGACATATATAATTCTCTCTCAGTTGAAATTCAGACAATTCTAGCTGCCAAGCTAACTCACCTTCCACCAGCATAAAACTCCAAATAAAAAGCCGATGAATAAACAGCCCATAGCTGTCGATGCTATACTCGTCCAATGTAATGTGATTTTACTGAGAGACTCATTTGTGTTTGGCGAACCTGAAAAATATACAATAAAATGAAACATGTAAATAGAAGAACAAAAGTGATTTTACATAAAGCTGTTCATTAATCTGAAATATATTTCTATATGTCCTGAAGGTACTTTAGGGGTATTTATGTCAGGTGAACTCCGAATTCTTGCATGTGCCTTCTGGAGTGTGGGCGTTGTAGATGTCTTATGGAATGTGCATCTCCCTGGGATGGAGAAGTAGAGGAAGTAAACCAGCAAGGGCATCTCATCTGCATATTTTTATTCTTGAGATTCTTAGAACCCCAGTTCATAATTTTCCATTCCCCAATTCTCATGGTGTTGTGACTCGGAATAAAATAATGTAGAGACCAATGTCTATACAAGATTTACTCTTCTTATGGCGACTGTTATAGTGTTTGCTGTTACAATTAATAAAAATGTCCCCATTCATATTCTTAATTAGCCCACTGATGTCAATTTGACTATTCTTTTTCTTTAATAGAACACCTAATGTTGATGGCTGCTTTTTGGTAAACCATCTTACTGAAGACATGTACTTAGGAGAGAGGCCACATAATTATGACAAATACATTATGACTAATACACCAAAATAAGGTTTTTATTAAACTGTGATTACACATAAATTGACAATAAACTATAAAAACTTAATTCAAATCGACCGAGGTGGAAAAATTTACTTAACTGAATTAAGAAGATATTTTTCTAGATTTTGAAGGGACACTCCAGGCACCCAGACCCAGACCACTTCTGCCCATTGGAGTGGTCTGGATGCCAACTCCCACTACTCTTAACCCTGCAACTGTAATTATTGCAGTTTTTTATAAACTGCAATAATTACATTGCAGGGTTAACTCCACCTCTTGTGTCTGTCTAGTAGACAGCCACTAGAGGGCACTTCCTTGTCCACAGAGCGTCTCTGGACGTCCTCACGCTATGTGAGGACCCCCAGTGTCGCTCATTTCCCCAAAGGAAAGTATTGAAATGCATTTTCAATGCTTTCCTATGGGGAGCGCTAATAATTGCCACACATGCACACTAGGTCTCCCCGGCCGGTGGGGGGTGGGAGGGAGAGGGGACCTGCAGTGCCAGGAAAATGGATTGTTTTCCTGGCACTGGAGTTTCCCTTTAAATTTTGCAAACTCATTTCGAACTCATAGACCACAAGTGCACAGTTAGACTAGACAATGCTAAGAAATCTCTGCTGAAAAAGCAATACAAACTAATAGATATGTCTGGGCCATATGAAAGATAACCTTTGGCAGTTGCAAACATTACAGTTTGCAATTTTCTGCTGCTAATGAGCTTGCAAGTTCGGAGTGGAAACATCATGTTAAAAAAAATACCAACCAAGAGTAGTTGTCATATTTATTTATGAATGGTATAAATACTGCCAAATAATTCTGAGTTATATCATTAATTAATCACTTTATTTTCTTGCTATCGTTTCTACAGTGATCAGCCAGAATAATTTCTCACTCTTTTTTTATGAACATTCTCACAGTTTTTCAATTCAAACTATTTCTTGTTTGGCAAAAATAAAATAAACATATCAAGAAGATGAAATACACATTTCTGGATATATTCAGTAAATTATACAGATAATGAACTTTGACTAAAAATTGTGCAGATCACCGAATTAGCAATGTTTAAAATTGTTTAATGCAATTGCTCACACAAATTAATCAAAATCTAATTGGACACAAATACAGCAGTATTTGCACTATTTATGAGTAGTCTATTCCCTAAAGAGTGAATCATGGATAAAATAGGTCAAAAAAGTGAAACATGAAAAAAAAATTCCTCTAATTTAGACGTGACTAAATGTAGTTACTATCTTACAGTTTTGCGTGACTATTTTACAGTTTTGTGTATATTTAGCAAGTTTTTTAGCACCACACAAGTACTTAATATATTTAAATACTTAAAATGTTGCACTGTAGTTCAGTAGAAGCACAGCTAAGACACACATTGCATTGAATTTGGAGGAACCAACTTGCAATATTTTAACCAAAACAGACAAGTCAAAAAGAAAAATTGTAATCAAGACTAGCTAAATTAGAGATATTTTCCCCCCCAATTTGGCTGTTTTAACCTAGGTTAAGCACGCAGGTTGTTAAGTCATCAAAAAACTCTATTTATTGGATGTCATCCCCAAAATTAGTACAGTTCTGTATTATAAGAAAAGGTCAAACATATTTTATTTAGGTGTAAAACTAGAGAACAATGCAGGAGCTCCTATGATTTAAAGCATCACACATTGATGCAAACTATTAAAAAATTCTGACACCACATCCCCCACCTTACAGTTTGCATGATTGAATAAATATTTTGAAAAGTACATTAAAAAGAACGGCAGCATGTTTTGAGGTATTAATGTGTCTCTATTTTCAGTAGCAATGGTATATGTGTACTATAGGAATATGTTAAAGAATGTAAATATTTGAAGGAAGTGGGAGAGATGTAGAACACAGCATATTGAACTGTTTAACATTAATATTCTTAGTATAAATATCATTAAATTCAAATGTTTTGGAGGGACACTTAGATTCTTTTCATACGGCTGCAGGTATTATGTTAAACAATGTGCAAAACAAAGCCTTGGAATTTTCAGATTAAGTAAGAATAACATTATGAATTCAAATTCATTTTTCTTTCAGTAGCATGACGTGTGTAGTGTATAAAGGGCTGCAGAATGTTTGTTCATTAACATTTGAAACATACAAATTTTAATCATAATTTAAAATCAGTGGAAAAAATGAGTTGCTAATTAAAAATGTGTATAAGAAACAATGAGGAGTCATGTCGTTTTAATCTCCTGCTTACAGTGACATAACAATATGTAACTAATGCAGCCCTAAATATTTTATTTTTTTGCAATGATACTATGCATTTAAAAAAATATGCATTTTCTTGACATAGTTTCTCTTTAATTAAAATTGCGTGTTTGGAAGCTAGACATCAAGGTTCTAGATGCTAAGAGAGATATGGCAACATTGCCCAGAATATATTCTATTGACATGCCTTGCATATGAAAGATGAAAATCATTAATATAAAATAAACTATACTCCATTGCAAAATCTGATAACATTGTAACTAGATACAACTGTTTATGCACCTTCAGGACCAAACAAAAATATTTCAATGCACACGTTACCAAGAAGGATGGAAACCAACCTCAACTCTCTATACAAGACGAGGTGCAAAACTGGACCTGAGGCTTGCAAACCCCATACATAAATATAAAGAACAATGTGAGCCAGGCACCTAAAGTACGAAAATAGAAGGTTTATCTGGAGTCGGAACATAAACAGCAACGTTTCGACCTTCAGTGAGGTCTTTATCAAGCATAGCATCACATTGTTCTTTCCACGAAATGTAAACAAGCCTGAGCAGAAATTCAGACCTGCTAATGTGAAGTGCCAAAAAAAAAATTGTAATCTGAATATCTTCAAAAAGATTCAGCTAAAAGGTTCTTTGATGAAATATAGTTTTATATAAAGTCAGGGTTCTTGTAAAATCCCTAGAAACTTTTTAAATGCAACCGTGTATTAAGAGTGTAATGAAATTGACTTACTAATTCTGCTGCTATTTTTCAGAGTGCTTGGGACATAAGCCAGTTCTGGATTTGTTCTATGACTTGAATAATCTAAATGCAATAGAAAAACATTTGTAAATATTTCATCTATGTAACACAGTATTGTTGTTCAATGACAACTCATAATTTTATTGCATCTTAACTCAGCCCTCATTGGGCCAAAAAGAGAGTTTGCTCCACTTGGGGTAACAATTGTGTAGAGATGTCGCGAACTGTCCGCTGAACTGTTCGCGAACTGTCCGCCGGCGAACAATAGCGTGTTCGGAACCTCACAGCCAGCAGACACATTCCACCCAATCAGCAGCAGACCCGCCCTCCCAGGAAGTGTCTGCTGACTGTGAGGTTCCGGGTCAAAGTTTACTCAATGATGACGTATAGGGGGCGGACCGGAAATCGGATATGTTCGCCCAATACGAACACGCTATTGTTCGCCGGCGGACAGTTCGCAAACAGTTCGGCGGACAGTTCGCGACATCTCTACAATTGTGATAATTAATACTTTTATTTATGGTGCACCAGCAAACAAGGTAAGGTAGACATAAACAAAAGATGAGAATACTTGTCCAAATGAGTTTCCAATCTAGAGGACAAAATTAAAAAGACAAAGAAATTTTTGGGGGTTAATGGACTCCATGTTGAGAAACACTGTACTATATTTTCTCATTGTTGAACTTACTCAAAGTAGGCAGTACACATGTCCTGTCATAATCTGTGTTGTTGATTTCTGTGAATACTTCAATTGTTTTGGTGACAAAACGGAAGAAATTCTCTGGATAGAAATTTTCTTCCTGTCGAGAATATTCTTCTACAAATTCCTGTGAAATGGAACACAAAATAGCCAAGAATAAGTAAAAGATAAAAGTAAAAGATAAGGTGAGCACTGAACATTATAATCATTTGTCAAGTCACACTTGGCCAATATTACTTTATTCAAGTAAAGAATTCTATGTAAAATTATCAACTATAAAAAAAAATGGCAATGCTAGCGGTAACAATAAATTATGTCTTTCTATTTTTGTTTTACAATGGAAAAAAAACACAATATATAGTATGTTTTGACACCTGTTTTCCCATTCATTAATCTATCCAAATTACTGCAGTTCCACATATAGCATTGACTACTTTTCTGGAACTCCTCCCACTTGCTTATGTTATTATTATTGTTATCATTTATATAGCGCCAACATATTCCTGAGTCCTTTACAATACTATAAAGGGGGAAATTAACAATAAATTAGACAATTACAAAATGTTACAGGAACAATAGGTTGATGAGGACCGTGCTCGAAAGAGATTAGAATCTAGAAATTTGTTGTTGGTTTGTTTTGAAAGATTGCCAGGTTTGGCTCAGAGGCTCTTGGTCTGACAATTCTAGACTAAATCTGTCTTAACCAGGCGTAGCTATGGATATGGAATTTAGAGTCACGCACTCCCCTACCTTTTCTGTATATCTTCAGGAATATGTTAGTGTGTGTCGACCATCATCTTTTGCCATGAACTATTTAATGTTTGGAAGGGAAGCAAAAGACTTTGTCTAGGTATTGACCCAGAAATTCCCAGGAATGTAATTGGCGTAATCTTGGCACAATTAAAGTGATACTCCAGGCAGTATAACCACCTCATCTCATTAAAAAGGAGATTTAAAGGATCAATATAGTGCCAGGAAAACAAACTAGTTTTCCTGGCTCTACAGGTTCTTTAGGTCCCCCCACCCTCAGGGTCCCACACCCACCGGGCTGAAGGGGGAGGAAGGGATTAAATTCTTACCTTTCTCCAGCACTGGGCTCATCCGCCGAATGCGCATGCACGGCAAGAGTCGCGCGCGCATTCAATCAGTCCATAGGAAAGCATTTCTCAATGCTTTCCTATGGACATTGGTGTCTTCTAACTGTGAAAAATCACAGTGAGAAGCGCAGAAACACCTCTAGCGGCTGTCAATGAGACAGCCACTAGAGGCTGGATTAACCCTACTGTAAACATAGCAGTTTCTATGAAACTGCTATGTTTACAGCTGCAGGGTTAACCCTAGATGGACCTGGCACCCAGCCCACTTCATTGAGCTGAAGTGGTCTGGGTGCCTATAGTGGTCCTTTAATCTAAGGCAAAGAAAAGTTTTTTTTTACAGTAAGAACTATAAGGATGTGGAATTCTCTGCCTGAAGAGGTGGTTTTGTCAGAGTTCATACAGATGGGTAATAGCTGCTTAATCCAATGAGACTTCTGACTGCTATTTTGGGGTCAAGAAGGAATTTTTTCCTAGTTTGTTGCAAAATTGGAACTGCTTCAGATCAGCGCTTCTTTTGGATCAACAGCAAAAAGATATGTGAGGAAGGCTGAACTTGATGGACACAAGTCTATTTTCAGCTATGTAACTATGTAACTATGTTAATGGTTATAGAGTTTTTGTACTCTGGCACTGTCCTTCCATTTAGGCTTAAACCATTTTTGAATCCCCTGCTCAAGCTAATAATTTTATCTTGCAACAATGCATAATTTAGATAGAGTTTTGCTTTTTATCTGTGGTATAGCTTGAGCTCTTAATTTATAACTCGCTGGCTATGGATAATAGGCTTTGTATGAGAAAAAAGTGACCAACTAACCTAAGACCTATGCTGCATCAACTGATCATGACATGACTGTATAATGTAAAACAGAATAGTAATAGTATAAATAACTTTATAATGTTTAAAATAATTTAAAATATATTTCCCAATACTCAAAAATGTGTGAAAAAAAATTGATGGCATTACAGGATTTGCTGCACGTAACACAGCAAGGGTCAAAAGAGGCCAAGTTGTTGCTACTGCGTTAAGTTTCTTCACTTAACTCCTCACGCAACAAAGAATGCTCTGCTTATTCCAACAATTAAGTCTTGGCCTGCAGCAGCGTTTAGTACTCGGTGGGGGGCCTATAGCTTGCTGTAAAGAAAAGACTATTTTTTGCCAAGTTTTACATTCCAAGACACTTGTGAAGTTTACCCTAAATATTAGGTTTATTCCTATGACTACTTCTTACCTCTAGGTCATTGGTTACTGATGTTACCATTTTCATAATTAATTGAATAAATCTGCGCTGGAAATAATGACATTGAATCTAGCCTTTGTTAAGATTTGTCTTTAGCACAGGTTGCTACAATGTTTCCCTTTCTTTCTTTTCTCAACACTAAACGAAGTACGTGATTTCATTTCTTAAGTCTTGTTTATCATCATAGGTATTGCAGTCTGCGTGGTCATGCTTAGTGTTGTGTGGAGTCTATATGACTTTTCACTACAATGATGTCTCTACATACTTTGTCTTTTTAACTCCCTCCAATACTATGAAAGAAATTAAAAACTAACTTAACTGCTATCTTAATGTGACACTCAAGACACCTAATGTGCTTTAGCTTGCGAAGTCCTTTATGCATGAAGAGTGCGTCCTCATTTTTTAATATTACAAAAAATTTTTAATAGAAATAGACATTATTATAAATTAACCTTGTTACACCCCATGGCTGTCAATCACACAACAGGTCCTGTTACTTCCTGGTTTGGTTAGCTCAATGGCGCTAGACTCAAAAGGCTGCACTTGTTCAGAGCATCTGATGTGCATAGATTTCTCATTGAACTGCTCTGGAAAGTCTGTGATTAGACAGCCACAGAAAGTCTGGACTCGGGAATAAGAAGGGAATGGCTAGCAAAAGCTTCAGACAAGAGATCTGCAGATTTTGAAGCTGTTTTTCAATATACACCCAATGAAAAAAAGTACTGAGTACTGTGGAATTACTAAAACTATATCCATTACATTACACACAAAGGGTAAATCAACATACATCCATAAGCACAAACATCTTTAAAGGCTATATAAAATAGTCATCTCAGATGAAGAACATTTCATGCTTTAGATTAGACCATTCTACAAGTGGTTTTCTTTTGCCTTTCTAGGCACCCTTGGGTGTATTATACAGAGCCTTGCACGGCTCTGCAATGCGTGAGTGCAACCAATAATTATCCTTATCTCTGGATGCTTTTACAGTATACACTATGAGTTGTACTTTTTATTGTTTCAGGCTCTACACTTGATATCCTCAAACATTTCTGTTCATAAGTATATTTTCTTTGTAGGCACTATAAGGGTGTAGTTTATTTTGTGTTTTGTCACATTGTGTATGTTTTGTGGTTTATATGGAACTGAGTCAATCAAATCTGTTTTAGAGGTCATGAATGTGTTTTATATTTGGGTGTCAAAATTCTATTTCTTCACATACATACATACATACATACACACACACTAAGCAAACACGTTGTTCAACAAACTCTCCATTAAAAGCATGGACCATTGAGAATAGATCCCCTGCCAAAGATCACATTCATCAAAAAACTAAATAATTCACTGATTCAGTTCCATCCTATCTCCGGTTTTCCATGCCAATTATAAAACAACTTGCAAAATTAAGCTGTGAAGGAATATATCTCAAGCAGCGTATAGAACAATAAAGCAAGATGCATGCAAATAAATATTGCCATAAAAAAATCAACATCAAATGTAATGGCATTTAATAATGATGGTCAATGTATAAATTGCACTTTTATGTTTTGAATATGAACCTGTCACCTACAAAATGGTGGATGAAAATTTCACCTTCCTATGAAAATGCTGTGATATTCTACTGAAAACATTCTGCTGACTGCTACGGTTGCAAGAAACACAACTGTCTTCATCTGTAATTGCAATCAAGTCTAAAGTCTCAAACAGTTTCCCACATACTTAATTATAGAATTCCAGTTATAAAATACATTACCATTTGTTCACTAAGTTGAACACAATCCCGAATGCCTTGCATTATCAGGGCAAGATTATTTAAGATTAAATAATTTTGTGACGTAGTGGAAAATTTGTCGGAAAGATCATCCAGACGGATAGTCACTTCATATAGCATCACGTATAACCAGCAGTGTTTGGGCTGAAATGAAACAAACATATATTTAAAAAAAAAAAAAATACAGAAACAGAATTACCCATTATGCTTAGCAGTTTTTTCAGAAACACACACTGTCATGTGACCTATAAATGACTGACTGATTTAACACAAAACATTCACAAGAGGCAGATAATAAGGAACTATTTTATACACCAAAATGACTTAATGCTTTATGTAACAAAAAACAAATTACATCTCGACACAATTGCCATCTGGCTTTTTTTTTAATTTTACACAGATGTTCATTGTTTTCCCATAGAACATTATTGAATTTTTGACCGGAAAGTGGATATTTTGCATGACTAAAAATACTGTGTATAGTAAAACTAGTGAAAAGAAATCTTTGGAGAGTCATAAGGGGTAAAAAAAAAAATCTCAGGCCTTTGTTCTCTGACATCTGCCAAATGTCTTAAAAAGAAAAACCAAAGAAAGCAACTAATATTTAGCATTACTAATAGAATGGGGAAATAAATAAAGAAACACAACTTTCTAAAATCCGACACCCAGACCACTTCATCTCTTGATGATGCCAGGGTACTCAAGTCACCAGAACAACTTCAAGGAGATGAAATGGACATGGCGCCTAAAGTGTGAATGTCACTTAGATAATATTGTTTGCACGGTTCCCTACAGTAAGTCAATATTACCACAGCTAAAAGACAGATCCTCTAATATCTGGCAGTATCTACATTGTGGAACCTACCTAGGCATCTGGATGGCACATTTCATATGTAATAAACAAAACATGACCGCAGACATTACACAGATGCACAAATGAATTGGATTATCCTTGAATAAACACAGTTCAAATCATATTGTAATATTTTTGCACAAAAATCACTTCATCTTAATGAAGTGGTTTTGTGGGTATAGATGCAGCCTATGTAGTATTTCCACTGAGAAACAGCACTGTTTACGTATTGCAATTCACGTGTCTACTAACTGCTGTCATTCAGACAGTCACTAGGGGCTGCGTACTATAAGAGATTTAATAAGTGGATCTATATGTCCAGTGTCACCATGCCAACAAAGAGTACTTGGTGTACGTGCAAAGCATCTCTATGAGAAGCAGTGGATTCTTTATTCCAAATAGAAATTGGTCATTATCCTGGCACTCTATATTGGGGTGTTATGGGCATGGTTTGTGACAAAATGGCTGGAGAACATCTTGACACTGACTGCTAAGCGACAAAAGCTAGAGATAAATTAAGGGTTAATAGGTGCTCCCACCCCCGGCATACTAAGCAACATGCCCGCATCTCATCTCACAGAAGAGGGGGTAATTGCGGGGAAAATGGTGCGCAGGTGCTCTATAAAACATAACTGTCACTATGATGCTCACTGGGTGTGAGCAAAGAAGCTCATGGCTGCCAGTTGTTTAAACGTGGTGTTTGGGGACCACACACACACGTTATTAATATCCAATTGCACAAGATGTGGGAATGAGCTAATTTATGGTAAACTACACCACACCACACTGTACATGGTGTGTGTGTGAATAAGAAGGATCTTTGCTGCCCCTCCCTGCAGAGCAGGATTAACCATAGACAGACACATATGGCCCAGTGTAGGACAGGGGCTCTGGAACCATGAATTTGCTTGGCCTTATTCCCCATCCATATGTGAAAGATGAGGCGCCAAAATGGTAACCTTCCTAGGGCTCTGTGGGATCTGAATATTGTCTGCCTCACTGATTAATTGAAGGTCTGGATGCACCTTTTTATTTTTTCACTCCCTCCACAAAAATTGTGCATGGTGTAAGATATGGGAGTGAAACATGCTGTCTTGCAGTTTATTGACTAGCTGTTTACTTTCAAAATGGTAATATTAAAGCTTAAAACGTTAGTATACCTTTCACAGGGAAGAACAATTCAATATTTCTTGAATTGGAATGTCCAATATTCTTTTAAATTCCATTACTAAGTAAGCAGTTACAGTTTATCACTGTTTTGCTGTGTGCATATTTTTAAGGTGCCTTCAGCATACTGTCACACTAAATGAATGTAAAAAATGAATGCCGAGCAATTAGAAGAAGTGGTTTTGACAAAAAGCAAGTTAAACCCTGTGTTAATTATGTGACATTTGCTCCTGGTACAAATGTTTTTTCAAATTCCTTCAAATTACACTGTTTGTTCCACACTTTGTTTTCAGGTGTAGTTTGCCCACAGCACCCGTCTACATGAGTTGCAGCACGTCCCGTTTAGTCCATTACAAATTTGCTTCATGTGCAATGTGCATGCACTTCACAAACACAGTATAAACAATGTAAATAGAATACAGCATAAACATGCATACACATTGCTGGTAGTGAAGTGGTTAATGAATGTATTTTAATTCCAATGATTCCTGTTAAATCCATTCATTTTACAAGAAAAAAAAATAGAAAGTATTGAAAGTTATGTTTTTTTTATTGAAAAAAAAATCAATATCTACAGAATGCATGAAAAAGTAACATTTGTTTTTATTCTACATATACATTGTTTAATAACCATGCAGTAAGACTGCTGGGGTTTACTGGCTAAACTGCCAAATTTAGTGCACTGAAATCTGAATGACGAAATTAAGGAAAAATAGCTATTTTGGATAAATGTAACAATTACGGTTTGGCTATTTTTCAGCCTCGGTTTTGCCATTCAGATTATAAATCAATCAGATATGGAGTTAAGAGTTTAACCCCCTAATGGTTTAAGGATTATTTTTATAGTTTGCCGAATAAAATAAACTTCATATACTGGATTGTAAGAGAAAGTGTAAATAAATATACAATTCGTAATTTTCATAATACAATTTTCTTGCTATTATTTTTTTGTAATTTTATTATCCAATCTTTTGTTCAAAATACTTTTTCAATAAAATGTACTGAAGAAAAAAAAATTTTTTTTTTTCCTTTTTACTTCCACTGACAATACAATTGATTTTCTGGCAAACTGTATTTCCCCATGCCACACCTTCACTACAATGGGATTGAAAAGCAATGCCTTGACTTTAGGAAGTTGAATATTTCTTATTATTCTAAGTTTATTTATAGCGTCTGCATATTTTGCAGTGGTGCAAACATTGTTCACAAATTTGGTTCAGTTAACACATTTTTATTTGTGCTTAAAGGAACACTACCAAGCTCCATAATCACTACAGCCACTATAGTGGTTATGGTGCCTGGGGTACTCACACAAAGTTAGTTTTACAGTAATAGGACCACAAAAGTTACCCATACTACTTTATACCAATGAAATGTTCTGGGTGCAGTGGCCCTGGAGTTCTAACCCTGCAATGTAAAACATTGTAGTTGTGTAGAAACTGCAATATTTACACTGATAAGCCACTAGAGGTGCTATCTCTTACAGAACCAAATCAACTTGGTCCTGCAATTAAATGCTGCTTTAAGCAGCATTTGATTGGATTAATGCATTCACAGCGTTTGGCCATCTATGAATATATGCAATCCAAAACCGCTCTATAAGAAGCATCGGATTGGTCAAGATCCCCAAAGAAGTCAGCATGCCATGAGGTGGAGTAGGTGTCTGCAGCGCAGGAATCTCTGCGCTCGAAATGAGGTGAGTTATATCTAACTTTTTTTTCCGGAAAAGTGGTCTCAATCATAGAAGGGAATCTATAGAATCCAAAAGGATTGTTTTCTTCAGGACTACATGTTCCCTTTAAATGTTCATTTAACGCCTTCAGCATGAGAGTTAATTATGTTGCCATTCTATTAGTAACGAGTCCTGAAACAGTTGAGCATTTTTATCTCTCCCAAAATCTCTTATTTCACCTCAAAAAAGACACTTTTTGTAATGAATCATAACCAAATTTACTTAAGCTATTCAGCCTGGCATACCAGTTAATCAACTTTTTTAATAAGCCAATTTAGAAGGAATCCAAAGGCATTCCTATCTATGTTCACCCGCAAGCTTAAAAAATTCCAAAAAAGTGACTTATACAGGTGCACTGTTTAAATGAGTTCCAAAAAAAAAAAAATACATAAGAGAACTGACTTAGCTTGACAGACAATTGGCAATTAGGATAAACTCACTTTAACTGGATGACCTGGTGAGTCGAACAAAGACTTTCCTTATAAGTTAAATGAACTGACCAAACAACTAAATGCATGACATTATTTGGGGATTCATTTTTAAAGTATCTAACATAATGTTAATTTGTACCTATTTTCTTCTAAAACAAGATTAGGCTCCAAATTACCGTGACAATAGGTTGCACACGAATTAGGAAAACTATACGCTACTCTGGTGAATTAAATTACATTTGAACCAAATTCATATCTGGGTTCAATTTTCCAGGTGAAAGTCCAGAATACTGAATCTTTAGACTCTTGAGTGACCCAAGTTAGAATGTATTTGTTGCCGTGAATTGGCTTTGGTTCCATTTAGGTATATATTTAAATAAAACAGTTTTCTGGGTGTGTTATGGTAATACCAATCTTACCACACATTAAATTCTTTATAAATTAGACTCTTTCTAAATCTCCAACATCATATCTTGCCAAATATATGTTTACCATCAGGTAAGGATCGTACAGCATTGCCCTGTATGGTGAAATAGGCTACGTGTCACCTAAAATGTCTTGTATGAAATGATAATCCTTAAATCATTTGGCAAGCACCCAAACATCACAATAGAATTGATCTTTTAATAACTTGGCCAGCGTGCTGATGTGAACTATATTAGCAATATTCTAAAACAAAAAAAAATTTAATGAGCCATTGTCACGTGTTCCATCTAGCCAGTTCTCTTCCGTTTCAACCCAGTAAGCACTATACGTGAATGTAAATAAAAGATTTGATATATATAAATATGCACACTATATGAAAAAAGATAGCTAAATAGTAGAAAGTGTATTGCTCTAAAATAGACGTTAAAAAATAAAAAATGTTAACCTTAAAAAAAGTAGGTGAGCAATGTAAGTGTAAAATGTGACTGTTTGGGAAGTCAAAGCACAAAGTACAATCTTCAAACTGGAATCCAGGTAAATAACTATATAATGCAATAATTTTAAACACAGAGAAACACTAATAGTAATTTTTATTTATGATCTTAATGCCAAACACCATAAAACAGCCATAAAATGCTATTAAGGTGTACAGTTGATTACATGTTTATTTTGTCTTCTTATTATAATTTATCCAAAATTGTCCTTTCAATAATCTAACAGCTTAAAAAACATAATGTGTACACATTTTTTTAGATTGTATATGACATTTAATAACAACATTTTTCATTAGTCTTAAATTATTCCATTTAAATTTAGTATGTAAATGGAATTTAAATGAAATAATCTAAGACAAATGACAAATAAAACTAAATTAACATCAGACAAAATCTGAAAAAAATCCATAGAATTCCACTAAACAGCTCAACAATATATCAAAGACTCATTTACTCACCACACCTGCCTATATTTTGCATCCTTTCAAGACTTTTTTCCCACCCTTCCCTCTTCCCTCTCCCATCTTGTGAATGCATTATCCCTGCTAGTTCTTTCCGTTCCTTACCATTTCCACACCCAAGTCTTCCTATTGTTTCTTCAGTGAGAATCCCCTGCATTGCCTTTTACGTGTTAATGGACATAGGATAAGGAAGTAGAAACATTTTCATTCCTAGTTTTTACTGACTAAATTGTACGATTATTTTTTATTATTAAATATGATGACTTTCACAATTTCTTACCAGATTTTCATTTACTGGAACATATCTCAGCGCCATATTGTAATCTTTTGGGAGATTTCCAACCTGTAAATAAAACATGCACTTATATAAATATAAATAACAGAAGTTGTCAATAGTTTGTCACAAAGAATATCGATTTACACCAGTCTATTTATACCTAAGTGCAAAATACAGAAATGTACATAGAATTCCATTTAAAAAGACAAAGCTTTTTTTTTTTTTTTTTAAACCAATTCTATAATTCTAGAAATGGAACTGCATTTTCTATCTAGATAACAATATTGTGTGTCAATGGATCTAGAATGGGCTTTGAGAGGCACGATGCAGTTTCTTTTACATTTCACAATTATTTAATTTAGATAAATAAACATATTTGGAAACATTTCTCTATATACCATTACAAATTATTCCAAGAGCCTTTAATAACATTCCTCATGCCATGCTTACTCTGCTATTTCATCAGAAGCGCCTCTAGGGCTGTTTAATGACAGCGACTCTGCAGAAAGACAATGTTTTCACTTACAGGGTCAAACAGGAGAGACAAGGCACCCAGACCACTTCATTGAGATGAAGTAGTCTGAATTCCTGTAGTGTCCCTTTAAGTAATATTTTGGCTTAGTAGAATATGCTGTTATACTAATCTATATTAGATCTTGCAGACAGGAAAGGACAGGCCTACTGAGATTTTTTTTAACCTCGCCTCTGCCACCGAAAACGTAAAAATATTACTCTCTAATAAGTCTTTTTGTTTGTTCTTCAGATCAAGAAGAAAGGGAACTGGGGAAAATGACCAATAGAAGTACAGTCATGTGATACTGCTTATTTACCGTAGTTTAGTATATATATTTAAAGTATTAGTGATGAAGACCTTCTGTAGTCAATAAGTAAAAAAGTACATACAAATATGCCTTGTTGCTCAACAATAAGGATGTTTGGTATATCACCCCATTGCATAAGGCATGAAACAGCCTAATAATCCGGACAATACAAATTGAAACCATAAATTGCAATACCTATAGCCATGAATGTTTGTGTTCCCGGTGTCATTGCAATTTAATTTGCCAAAAGGATTAGCTTCATAACAAGATGCTAAGCTGTATATCAGATTTCATTAATTTTATTGTAGCATTCTGGGAAAATACTGGCAATGCAAAAATAACGGAGGAACGTACAACATCAAAATATATTGTTGCAAATTAAATTCCTCTATTCTATGTGAGACATTTGTTTAAATATGCATAGGGGTTTGGGAAGAGCGCTGGTTTTTACTGTATGTATTGGGGCTGATGTGTACTGTGGTCGTTGCTGCGGCCCAGGAGTGATGGGAGTTTGAGCGCAGGACTTGTTTTTTGTATTTGTATCCACTTTTTGTATCACACAGCTATGTTACAGTGCTGCCGCCCATCCAATGTGTTCCCTATTAAGGGTTAATAAGTATATAGGGGTGTATATAAAAAATACCCCTCTTCGTCTCATTAGAGATATCTTTGCCAGAAGCTCAAGGAAGCAAGGTGAAAGCTTAGTGTAGAACCCACCTGAGAGGTTTGCCTTGACGTGGCAGGTGGGTTAAACTCTCTCATGGCCATTGGAGAATTGGAGAAACTAAATAACCTCCATTTGTTTAAATATGCATAGGGATTTGGGAATAGCTCAGGTAACTTTTTTTCTTTGTTTTTTACTGTATGTATTGGGGCTGATGTGTACTATTGTCGTTGCTGCGGCCCAGGAGTGATGGGAGTTTGAGCGCAGGATTGATTTTTTTTTTGTATGTTGTGAGACATGTCTGCAATAAGCAAACTACGTACTGTACTTACCTTCCATTCAATTCAATTCGATATGAGTATATATATATACACTCGTCTGTAGATTTATTAGGAAATAATTTTTACAAAGAAAAATATTTATGTATGTCTCTCAATTTCAGCTATCTCCTGGGAAGTACAGGAACAACTAGCAAGGTTCCATCTTTAAACCACAAAACCTTTGCAATTTGTATGGTTTGGTTGAAGGTAGTAATGTCATGTCTTCCAACAGTCCTGATTTCGACTGGACCGTTCCGATATTCACATCCTGTCCCACTGTCCAACCTAAGTTTCCTGGTGTCTCGCTTTTAGTGACACCTGGCAAATGTCCTCAACAATCATAAAAAAAGTGCATCATAAAATGGACTTGCACTATGTTCAGGGGACCAGAACCATCCTGGGAGTTCGATAATCGTCCTATCTAAATATCCTTGCCGTGTGTGGGATACCAGCACCATGGAACTATAAATTCTCCATTTAAAGGACAAAGTCACCTCAAAGCTATTTTAATATAGTAACTCTTCTGAAATTTTGAAAAGTAATGCATTCTTTGTTAAATACAATATATGTAAAAAAAAATTTTAAAATTTAAAATCTCATTCCTTCCTTTAGTATATTACAGTATCCTCCTGCAATAGACACGCACCTTGGGTCAGAAAGATTTGAAAACTGACAGTCTATGTGATATTCCTAGCTTCTGTGCAAGGAGTGTAGGGAAAAGACCACAGGGGCTGTCAATCTATACACAATGTCTGACCCAAGGTACATGTATACAGCTTCTTGTCATATCCTTAAAGTAGGGATAGGTTCTCTCATATTTTACATATACCTCATTTAAAATAAATAATATTTCTGTTCAAAAGTTTTTGACCTTTACGTGAACAAATTTGGCACATTCAGTTGATATTTTGTAATGGATTAAGAAAGCGTTGATGTTTAACATTCACTGTCAACCAAGCATGAAATGATGCTGTTTAATCAACAGTTATTTAACACACTTCATTCATGACAGTTATAAAACACAGCCAAGTTTCAAGATTAGGATCTTGGCCATGATACATTTATTATGAATGTGTATATGGAGTGCTACATGTCTGGGCTATAATGAAGCAGGTAAACTGCCAAGCTTCAGGGAGAGCAGGCAAACAAATGGTTCTCAATACGTTACCCTATGACTTCTCCTTCACCAGGAAGTGAACTGCATAAGGTTTCTGTAAATAACACCAATACAATGTATGTTTTTTCGAGTGTTTTAAAAAAAACAAACATAGATAATAGGATTTCAAAATGGGTCAGCCCAAACAGTTTAAACCTTCTTTATCTGCCAAATGCTGAATAGTACTCCAACTTAAAAGACTAAATATATATACACACAATATATAAAATGCCAAAATAAACAGAGTATACCAAGCGTTCAAGAGTTTTCCTCATTTCCTAAGCTCTGAACTAATATATAATGATAGTCATTCATTTGTTTGCTAAAGTCAGCTTTTTTGAGAATAAAGCACATCATTTCGATCTTATCTGAAATAATGTTTTGTCAACAAACCTCTTTGGTCAAACTTTTTAGACTTTTAAGAATAGATCCCGAGCAATGTGACTTGGCTATCATTGGGCTACTATATTATGCAGACTGTACTTTTGTCACTTAAGAGTCCCAAAAAGGCAGCCATATGCATGTGTAGTGCAACATATTTTTGTATAGACGTCCAATGAAACTTTTTATTGCTGTTATTCATGTGAAGTAAAGTAATTACTTAATTGCTGAAGACTCATCATCTCCTATCTGGAACCTTTCTAAATTGCCAGTTTCTAACCTACTTATCCCCACCTCATTCCATTTAACATACTTTTAACAGACTCGCCGATTTCAATAATCATATATCACCTAATAGCCCTTTCTGACAGTCTGTCTGCTGTGTGTCCATATCAGCCAGGCTAGTTTCAAAGCTCTGATAGGAAAGCTACACATCTCTAAATAATTCCACATTTTACAGTAAGATACACAAAAACTCTTCTTTCTGTTTCACACAATTTTCAATTTTTGCACTTTGATTTTTTTCATTACAAAAAAAGCAAGCAAATATTTATTGAGTGAATTTCTACCAATTTGCTTTTGAAGAAATAGAAAATGACTTATAGTTTCAAGAAATTCTATTTCATCCTTAGCATTGAACATGATGATAGTAAAGAATATTTGTCAAATAGCTTTTTCTTATGGCTCTTAAATGGAGTTAAACATTTTCTGTAAGGATATTATTTTACTGGAGCATCTACGGGAGGTGAACATGCAAAATTGTGTCCATTTTTATTTTTTGGAAAAAGTTTGGCTAACAGGAACAACGAGATGACAACACAATATTTGACAATCTTTATGCTAACCTAGCTGGAAGACTGTTCTAACTAGATATGTTAGCCTAAATTCAGCAGTAGCTGGACACGACTTGCTATTTATTCACCACTTGGATTCAGGGTCATTCAAGCAAGTCCTATAAATTGCTTTTGAGATATTTACAATAAGTGTTAACAAAAAGTTCACATTAGGGTAAATACATTTTGCTAATATGATGTTATACAGCTTCACTGTGGTCCATTTGCATTTTCATAAAATACCCTGTGGCTCATTTTAAATTATTAACTTACACAGCCAACCTAATTTCAAAGAATACATTATATACTTATTAACCCCTTAAGGACACAACTTCAGAAATAAAAGGGAATCACGACGGAATATTTCCGACATGTGTCCTTAAGGGGTTAATGTTCAGAACTGAGCAATCTGTCTATGTCAATCAATACATAAATAATGTATAAATAAAATAATACAGCGGGACCAGCAATTTCCAGATGGGCTGAGAAAATTCTACAACTTGCTACAGAACTCAACAAGAGAAACATAATTAAAAGGATACGCTAAGCACCAAAACAACTTTAGCTTAATAAAGTGGTTTTGGTTTTGACCTCCTGGATGTTTTATTGCATTATAGATGGTACCTCAAAAAGTATGTAAAAAATGAACGCAAAATAATAAAAGCAAACAAAGTGTTAACATTTACAAGGTACTAAAATTGGATGATGGATAGCAGAGAATGAGGTGAAAGTCCTCTTTTGATGTTATTGACATAGGGGGATTTCTTACAGCGTATTGTAGTGACCACTTCAGAACAAATTCACGTGACAAAGTCAGGTGGTACAACACTGGTGTAACAAAATGTGTCAATTTACACTTTATGGGGCCAGCCATTGCTGTTTAATCTCGTTAGCTCTCTCTTCCCAGTTCATTTTTAATGTGTTCTCTTCTTTAATGCATTTTTAATGCTATGCCTTCCCAAGCTCCATAATTCTTTCTTCTGCACCAGCAAGGTACAAAAGGGACCTTCTGAACTAAATGTGGCTCTGAGGTCTGGCCAAAAGATTCCTCACTATTGTTATGCTAATAGTATATTTTAAGAAAGCTGCTTTCAATTTTAAGAACAAGGTAGTATGTATGACATATGTAATGTAAATTGCAAAGTGTGTTTATCATTACAGATAAATGGCAATTCCTTTCTTTTCTGACTTCATTCTTCTTGAAACATTTCTTTAATTTACAAAAATATGCAATTGTTCAAGAACATCAAAGAATCAAGACAAATATGATTCATATTTTGTTTAATAAGCTCTATACTTTTAATGTTTTTATTTTTATATCTAAATCAAAGTATTATAGATTACATGCCATTAGAAATAAGAACTTTGACCTGTTTTTCCATTTGTCATCATTCCACATTTAAAATTAATTCTATATATGAAAAAGTTTCATAACATTTTTATATTTCCATCCATCCTTTCATCTGCTTATCCATCTATCCACCCATCCATCCTGCTTATCTATCCATCCACCATCTACAGATAAGCACAGACATAGCAAACAAGAATTTGAAAGGTTATTTTTCTCCAAATATATAAATTGTGAAATAATTGCATTTGAAGGAAACATAGCATGTATTTCAGACTTCATATTGTAGAAGAAGGGACAAGTCAATGGTAGTCATAAAACATGTTCGAAGCCCAACATAGCCCTCATGTCCTTTTTCATTGACTAGAGGTAGCTGACACATATTTACATTGCATTCCTTTGATGCTCCTGTTTGTTTCAGCCAGTAAAGCCTGCTGGGCCTCTAGGACATACCACCATGCCCCGTTCTTTGTTCAGCAAATTCCACTCCTCTGTATTTTGCATGACCACAGTATTTGGATTACTTACAGTAGATTAAAAGATTTAACCTCAAATATCAAAGCATATAGCTAAAAACTATAACTTATTTGTTTAGCTACAAGGGTCCAAGCAGAGAAATTAATTTTCCTATAATAAGTACGGCAGAGTATAGTTAATTCTCTAAAAAATTAAAATTTCCGCCTCAATTAATCAAATACCACAGCCAGATAAAAACAAGAACTAAGCAATTTCTTGTATAGCGGATACGAACTGTATCTATGCTGACACAGCAATATAGGTGGTAAAAAAGAAAAGAAAAAGTAAGATGCAAACACAGTAAACAGATAAAAGGCAGCTTGCCCTTTGGGAAAGGGGATGAACCAATTGTTGCCGATATGGCATATTATTATTATTATGTTATTTATATAGCGCCATCAAATTCCGCAGCGCTTTACAATGGGTGGACGAACAAACATGTAGTTGTAACCAGACAAGTTGGACACACAGGAACAGAGGGCCCTGCTCAATGAGCTTACATGCTAGAGGGAGTGGGGTAAAATGACACAAAAAGGTAAGGATAGTATTAGACTAGTGACAGTTGCAGAAGAGGAATCAGTCAGGAGCTATTAACAGTTTAATTGATACGCTTTTATGAAGAAGTGGGTTTTTAACGATTTTTTGAAGGAGTGGAGACTGGGTGAGCATCTAACGGAGGAGGGAAGCGAGTTCCACAGGAACGGTGCAGCCCTCGAGAAATCTTGAAGGCGAGCATCAGAGGTGGGAGTACGGACAGAAGATAGACGTAAGTCTTCAGCAGATCGTAAGGGCCTAGACAGGACATACTTGTGTATAAGGTAGGATAGATAGGTGGGAGCTGCATTATGTAGCGATTTGAAAGCAAGAACCAGAATTTGAAATTGAGCACTATATTTTGTAGGAAGCCAATGTAGGGACTGACAGAAGGGTGAGGCATGGGAGGTGCGGGCGGACAGGAAGATGAGCCTCGCTGCCGCATTCATTATGTACTGTAAAGGCGCAAGTTGGGAGCACGTAAGACCACTGAGAAGCGGATTACAGTAGTCAAGGCGAGAAAGGACAGTGGAATGGACCAACACCTTAGTCGCATCTGAGGTATATGAGGGGTCGAAACATTGTTTGAGATTGATGTATCTCTACCACATCCATATGTAGGTTGGATCGGCCCGATATGCAAGTGGCATTGGCTCCCACTGTATTGGAACACGTAAACTATTACTCCTTAATGAAAATGTGCCATAGGGAGAGCTTTACAGACAACGAGTGACCAAAACTAGATCATGCATGAAGTGTGTAAGCTGACTATAAGTGACTTGCATGGGGTCTCACATTGTCTTCTATGACAGATGCTGTACATCATTCATACATATGTGTGACTGCTAGTTTTTACTATTTTCATTCATATAAAACATAGCTGAAGCTACTCGCCAAATTAACAGAGCTATCATTAGATTGCTTCTGGCTTGCCAAATTATTTAATTCACTTTTTTCATGAATGTAAGAACTCACAGCCAAGCTTGATTTGAGCTTTGATACAACATGTATCTGGATTCTAAAAAAAAAAACTATAATTTACAAAAAAATAAACCATAAATAGAGCATTATTATTATTTTAATTTAAAATTATTATAACTATTTGTTTTTAATTAATAATAATACTTCCTGTTTAAGAGTAATCTATTCCGCACATATTCTAAGCACACCAAATATTAAACATAAAGTCTTTATTAAAAGGGGAACTTTCACTTCTCAGACTTTTAAATATTATGTCTACTTACATCTGTACTTAACAAATATGAATTTGAGAGGTGTGAAAAATTGTAAGGTATTTCAAAATAGATTTATTCTATATAAGTCCAATATAATGCATGAAATAGAATTCTTACCAGTTTTTCAATGTCATTCACAGCATCAGTGACTGGATTTCCGCAAGGACTCCCAAAACAAATGAATTGTATTTGAAGGAAAATAAATGTGATAATCCAAGTCTGTGGAAAAATAAATACAAGAATATAAATATACAAAAAAAAAGAAAAGAAAGAAAATAACCAACAAAACAAAATATGTACTATATAGGAATTCAAATATTATGTCTCAGAGATGTTCTGAGTCATTTCATAGGTGCTCAAGTTTTAAATACTCATCAGATTGAAGAAAACGAAAAAGAAAAATAATATATTAAAGATAAGGTGTCCTACAGAAATTAGTAAAGGTGGTAGGTGGTATTAAATGTGTTAAATATCTACCAATCCCATTTGTCTCATTATGATTGTGTACAAAGGCTACATAGCTTTAAAGATGAACTATCATGAAAAATAATTGCTTTTAACTATAAGAAATGTAAAATTATAGGCCAAACTAGTCAAAAAAGATCTAAGCTAAGGAACGTCTCAGATTTGCCAATTTTGGCCTAAAAATTCCCTTCACAATTCTGGTTTATTGAATAACTTCTCTACTGCTCATATGTTGTAGCGTGCATCGTGGCCTATATTTTAAAATTCTTTAAAAGAAATAGCAAGCAAGGCTCCCTTAAACTCCTCTAAACAGTTCGTATCATATATGTGCTACTGTTCCATATTGTAAGGTCAACTTCTGTTTATAGATTACTCAGACAGCAAAGCATCTCAGACTGGAGGGAGGAAAATTAACCAGTGCCAAAACAGAATTCCAGAATATATTTAAAGATAATGTATATAACCGTGATAACTTAGTGGCATATAGTAATATGCTAATAAAATAACGCTATTTCAAAAGAATAAATTGATGCAAACCATATACAGATCCTTCGCAACTAAGTTTTTTTGTGTATACATGTAGTCATAATGAAATTTTTAATAATTTCCAGTTTTATTTAGAAAGTTTGTGGCATCCACAAATTCAATTTTGAGATTTTATAGCTTTCCTCCTTGAATATAAAAATCTAATTCTGCAGATTTCTTAGTCATCTGCTTTCTTAAAATACAAATTTTTCAAGTGTCACTGGAACTGGACAAAAATCCAAAAGCAATGGCCACTTTGAACATTTGATGCATACTTTGAACTGATATGTCGCAATGTCCAATTTGGTAAAAATTCCAGCTAATTCTAGATAATTACTACCCACACTGCTCTATTACGTAGGTTGCCTACCCCTGCTCTATTATCTGGTCAAGAAGCATTCATATTTATTTATTTATTTATTTATTATTTATATGGAAAACATGTCCATATGTGCATGCGTTCACAGAGTTTCCACCTTGTCCAGTACACTGTGTTTGGTCTTTGTATGGCTGAAAAGAAAACATGTGTGTGATCACAAACATATTAAATTGGTTAGAATATTTAATCTTCTTAGAACTTTTCTAAACTTCAAACTGGTAGAAATGTTCTTGTACAGTGCTCTCAAATTACTGACATGAAAGTCATTTCCTTATCTACAGATGGAATGTTGAGCTAAAGATAAATACAACTCGGAGCATTTTTGGGTGATGGAACTAGTTTTTCTGGAGGAAATTTTAGTATTTTTCCACTGAGGCTGAAGACAGTCGTGTGTCCACTTAATATTAAGTTACAGACAAGCTTGACCTCATATCAAAGTACTGGACTTCAAGCACAAGCTCTTTTTTTCAGTTTTTCTAAAGCCAATTCATATAGTTGAAAAAATATAGGAAATTATTATACTTAGAGCAGGGTATGTTCCAAAAAATGCCATTAATACATTACGTTGAACAAAAAATGAATAGAGCAATAGAATAGTCAATAACTCCCCAATCAATTGATAAGGGTTAACTAAACGTGGAATTGTAGCAAATTCAAATCTGAATGGCAAAATTAAGATTAAAATAGCCAAAATCTGTCTGGTTTCAAATCAGCCATGTTTGCCCAAGTTGTCTCCATTCAGATTTTGATTTGTTAAAACTCAGAGTGCAGTTAATAACCCTTACGGTCTCAAAAGAAGTGAATGATACCAAGACATAACGACTGCATCACTGCAGAATTAAAGGACCACTCTAGGCACCCAGACCACTTCAGCTTAATGAAGTGGTCTGGGTGCCTGGTCCAGCTAGGGTTAACCCATTCTTTTATAAACATAGCAGTTTCAGAGAAACTGCTATGTTTATCAGTGGGTTAAGCCTTCCCCCATTCCCTCTAGCGGCTGTCTCATTGACAGCCGCTAGAGGCGCTTGCGTGCTTCTCACTGTGATTTTCACAGTGAGAGCACGCCAGCGTCCATAGGAAAGCATTGAGAATGCTTTCCTATGCGACCGGCTGAATGCGCGCGCAGCTCTTGCCGCGGGTGCGCATTCAGCCGACGGGGAGGAGAGAAGGAGGATCGGAGGAGGAGAGCTCCCCACCCAGCGCTGGAAAAAAGTAAGTTTTAACCCCTTTCCCCCTTCCAGAGCCGGGTGGGAGGGGGTCCCTGAGGGTGGGGGCACCCTCAGGGCACTATAGTGCCAGGAAAACAAGTGTGTTTTCCTGGCACTATAGTGGTCCTTTAACTTTTTGCGGGGGAAAAACTCCATTTACGCAGATTTATTTGCTCTTTTAATACATTTTTATCAAATATATACTGGCAGTGATTCAATGAGCCTCTTTATTCAGACACCATTAAAATTATTAATTTGCAGAGCCATCTGCCCCAGTATTGGTTACTGTTGAATTTCCTTATTCGAGGAGAAGAGCTTGAAAGAAATTAATACTTATGAAGAACATGTTGTGATTGGCATTGAAAGGCTAATTTGCATCCCATTTGTATGAATTTTTCCAGTGATCGGTTTAGTAAAATCTGATGCAAAACATATATCCAATTACAAAACACTGTCCAGTTAATCTACTAAAGCAACCACAAAGGCAAATTATTATTTATCTTTGATTCGCTATTTAAAACTAATTCAGACACTCTGCATAAAGTGTATCTGTATGGACACAACATAATATGCATATTGGCAATAGCAATATTTAACAAAAAAAAATACATTCTGACAACTCAGCTCATAGCACATTGCACATTTTCTATATAATGAACGATGCTAGCCTTGCAGAGAGCAATTCATAAAATTATTTTTAATGATACAAGTAGCTCTTAGTAACAAATCGTTCCAATAATTTGGTCAACCTTTGGGGAATAATATGATTTATACCCCATTAATCTCAATGCCATCAAAACATAGCTGATTAGAACCATACAATATCAAGCCTACATTTTTCTTTGATATATTACATGTGTTACTGTGAATATGTATGGAAAACTACACTATTTGTCATTTTCTTTTTTATTCCACATAGGTCACATTTGACAATATTTAAAAGTAAAAAAGGTTTTGGTTGCAACAGTACTTCTATTACTTTACATATTACAATATTTTGCTGTGCGTTCTAAATGAGTGTGTGAAGTGTTAAACTGAGACAATTACAGCGGATTATAGAGAGTAGACTGCTGTGTTAACTACACATGTAATAAAAACGTATGTTTCCGTGCACTGGTGGTACAAAAAAACCACAGTAATTAACATAGAATAACAGCTGGCTATATGCCATGCTAATTATTATTAAAACAGTTCAATGGTATTAAAAGTTCAATTTTTGACCACTGTTTTAACCGTCTCTTTAAAAATAAACCATGCTAGAGATATTTAAGAGATTGAAAATAAGCAGCCAATCAGAAGGAGGCATTCACTTGCATGCTGGACATTTTTTTTTACCACAGACTTGCTGGTAAATATTATATTGCCACACAAGAGGGAGGAAATGTAATTGTAACACAAAACCACAGCGGTTTATTCTCTAGTGATGAATGTGTTTTATTCTGGCTATACATGATTTAATACAAGACCACTTAATATTTAATATATGTGCAAGTATTAAATTTTATGGTGAGATATAAAATGACCAATGGGTAAATCAATGCACTTAAACGTAACTGTTTGTATTTGCCTCGGTGTATAATGAAATAAAATGTACAGCTTGCAAACATTTTAAATATAGTTCTATCCAACAATGCTGCGATTCCCATGGCGGTTGACAAAGAGAGATATGGGATTTGTTACATGAAATGAGGCAAGACACAGCCGCCTATGTAATTGAAATCAGCTGGAACAAATTATTATTGCCATTAATGTCACTGTTTCTCCAGTGGGCATACATTTTCCAGTGTTACCACAAACCCACACTTACTTTCAAATCAGGGCTTAATTCCTTAGGGTGGCCTAACACTTAATTTTCTACTATAAAAACGACTTAATTACATTTACAGATTGTGTTTGGCTTTTGTGATATGCCTCAATACACCCAAGTGGTAAATATTTTCTAACTAATTGCAACAAAGTTAAGCCTTCAAGGTTTAAGGTGTTTTATGGTGAGACGCAATGCCACAATCTTTAAAAACACAGATAAGTGATAAAAAAAGTTTGTTTGAATTAACTTGCATTGTCATACAGATCCAGAGATCTTTAAAGTTTAGAGGTATAACAAGAGATCTATACTTTTTTTTCCCTTTAAAAAAAAACAACAAAAAAAAAACATGTTTAGCACATGACATCTGCATTCAATTTTGATATTAGTGTTATTTGAAAGTCTGTAACAAAAAATTGGTTCACCCATATTTATTCAGTCATTGCCAATCCCTTTGTGATGGTTATGTAATTTTAGAAGAAGCATACAGTTAATAAGGTTTAATCATGCTTTATGTTAAATGATGACAGTCATTATTATTAAGTCTAACATCCTAAAATATGAAATACATGTTGAAAACTGGTTAGATTCCAGAATGTTAACATTCAAAAGTGACTACACTTGTAACATCTCCAGTGGGTGGAAAGACAATTGTTGAATAGTCTGCCATTGAAAAAACAAGCAAAAAACAACAGCACGCACAAAGAGAATTGCTCTTTTTGTCAGACCACAAAATAAAAAAAATGGAAGAATAAAACATTTGCAATAAAAGTATTCTTTTAAGAAAAAAATGGAACTTGTTAACTCCAATGAAAATTCTCATCATTCTACATAATACCGAGTTAATTCAATAACTAGCTCAGGAGGAAAGATTATTTTTATATAAATATTAGGTCTGACAAAAATGATATAAAAAATAGTCTACTACTCTTCCTATAAATATTTGTAACAGGTCAGCTTGAATTTTTGCAATGGGGATTTGTGGTTTTTGCCAACATGAATTTGTGGCATGCAGATTCCCAAAAAGACTGCGTAATGCAAAAATCTTAACTGTATGTAGGTATATGTCTTATATTTAAAACTGACTCACATTCTCAATCAGCTCGAGTTAAATTGAAATGTCACATTAAAGCATGCAAAATAATTGCTTGCAGACCAATAAAATGTGGGTTATATGTTTAAAAAGAGGTGTAATTTATACAAGTTTTACAATTTAGGGATGTAACTAGCACCATTAAATTAAAACTGGCAGTCTGCACTTTATCATCTTAATCATTGTTTCACTTGACATGTATTCAGACCAGAAAGCACATCTCATTTACTCTGCTTTTTGTCCTTAATAAACGCCACAAATATAGCTTTCGCTGTGTAATCTAAAACAGCTTTTTTCATCAGGTGGGTCATATACTCATACTGCTACACATTTAAGGGCAGACCTCATAAAAGGCAGGTGTAGGCAAATCGAGTCTTCAGAGACGCAAACACATTTTATATATTTGATGCTCTACAAAGAACAGCACAGCAAGTGTCACAGCTCAGCAGACATCTGATACACTCATAACAATTTTTCTGATGTACCAGCATAAAACATTTAATGTCAATTCATCATCAGATATATATACATTTTACATTTGCCTCTTAAACCAGCCTTAACTATTATATAAAAAAAAAAAAAAACTTGCTGAAGCCAATCTTATATCACTGCGTGAGCTATCTTTTGTGTTTTGTTCTTAAATTTTTTTCTGAGTATGTCAAATATATTATATCAATTTTTATCTTGATATACTATAAAACAATTGACGATGACCCATAGAATCTGTTGAACCCTTGGGTCGCAGGTTCAAATCCCAGCAGGATTGACTCAGCCATTTATCCTTCCGAGGTAGATAAAATGAGTACCATTAAATTGGGTAATAGTAACAACCCCTGGATGTTGGGCTAAGGTAACATCCCCAGGACGTACTTGAAAACCAGAGTAATCTGAATGTACCTTTCCTGATTAAATATTTTGTTTTTATTATTATTATTATTATTATTACTATTATTATTATTATTATTAACTAGTGATGTTAAAGTGTATTGTATTCAATGAGCTTAGTGGACTTGGAAAATGCTTAGCTATTTTGGCTTCCATTACAAATTTGTTTTGAATTCTCACTTTTGAATGAGTCTTCATGTCGGATATTTGCATATTTGCACCCCATCTGGAACGTCAGATGTTGATGGCCTACAACTTACAAAATTCTCATGACTCATGGGATTTGAAGTTCAGCCAAAAACAAAACACACTAGCAAATAATAATACAACGTATATCGACCAATATCGTGATAACCTTGTTTGTGGTTTCAGTGTTATTCAATTGGCAAAAAAAAATAAAAAATTTAAAAAAACAGATCATTCCTCAGGATTCCTATATTAACTCTTTCTAAACCAGGGTTAAGGAAATCCTTTTCCATCATTTTCCAACATCCATATATGATTTCTACTAATGATAGTCCATAGTTTTCATGTACCAGCCAATAACTACTTGAATTTATTTGTAAGGAATGGTAGAGGAAAAAAAAAAAAACATAACTACAATTCAGAAATAGATTTCAAAATATTCAATGCATTTACTGGTAGCCAGTGGCGGCACTATTGCCAGTGCAGCTGCATCGGGGCCTGCATGCTGAGGGGGCCTACTGAGTTGTCCATGCAATTTGGGCCATCCATTGGACAAGTGTCATCACGGACACAGTCATGCACTGCGGCCCTTTAACAGCATGACTGGGTTCCTTCATATCTGCAGGAAGTGCTGGGAAAATTTTTGTAAATGTTGACCAGCATGTGTGTCTGTGTGTCAGTGTTTGTATCTCTGTGTCGATGTATCAGCATGTGTATGTGTCTGTGATTCTGTATATATGTCAGTGTACGCTTCTGTGCGTCTGTGTATCTGCATATGTGTCAGTATGTGCATATCTATTTGTGTATCAGTGTGTTTATGTGGCAGTGTATTTGTATATGTGCATACATGTTAGCATTTAAACTCCAATACTACACACAAATACACCCCGGCATGCAAATGCCAACACTACATACATACACCCCTCTGTATTAAAATACCAACATTATATATGAACACACCCCTGCATTCAAAAACCAACACCACACATAAATGTATGCCTGCTTTCAAGCGCCAACACTGCATACAAATACACTCCTACCCCTATATTCACTCACACGTACTCCATACAAAACCATGCTTACATTCCAACACACAGACACTGCTCAGTGCTAAATACAAACCTGCAAGGATGGGCAAATGTTAGATCATCAGTTGGCAAAGCATCTGTTGTAAAACAGATGGGAAATTACCTTTTGGCCCCCATTGATATTGGGGGGGGGGGGGAGGGACAAAACATATCTACGTTAGTTATATACGTTAGCTCCGCCTCTGCTGGTAGCCATATGATGGGATTATTATAGCACACTAAATCAGTACAGGGAGAATAGCAGCTGCTATATCAGTGAGATTCAAATATTTATAACTCAAATAAATGCTTCTAGTCATGAAATATCATCATATGTAGCTATTGCAAGGTACATTTTTCTGTCTTTTTATAGGAAAAAATCAAGAAACACGTATTCATTTTTATTTTCTGTGCTCCATAATTGAAAATACAAGCACCCTTACTTATTTTTTGTCACTAATGCACCAAGTATGTCTTGGAGAGAGCAGATTATTGTCGGAAAGCTAAAACTCTAAAGTGGAATAATAATAAGACAAAACAGAACATGTTACATCATTAAACATACTTTGTCTTTATTAAATTATAAACTGTCTCTTTGCATCAACTGTTATCATTCAATGTACATTTGCTCTGTTCATTCACTAAATGAAATTATCATTAAGGATGACTACTGCTAACAAATTCCACTGTCACTCTTCGTTTTGCTAACTAGTGTAACTAAATAGTCGTAATTGTCCTGTAGCTCTAAAGCAATGTGTCTTCTTTTACATATGCCAATACTAAACATGCTAATGGGATAATATAACTGAATAAGGAGATACATGATAATTCTGACATGTATTAATGTATGCCTAAATCTCAAATAACATGAGATTAAACTGATGTTCTTCTCCTACGTCTAACAATAGGCAATGTTTTGTTTTAAATTTTTCATAGTGTTTTCAAGTTCTGTTTGTGTAAATATATTCCTAAATGGGACAAATTATTTAAGTATTTTATCTTTACAATTTGTATCACTTATCTTCATGGTTGTACTACCGGAATGTTAATTGTTTTTCCATACTGTACAAATTGATTAACGGCTGATGTCAGCCAACAAGAAAATTGCATTCAGTGAATCTCTAGAAACGGAAACAGGGACACTTCGGGCTCAAGTTGATCCTTTTTTTAATAAAGATCATTATGCAGAAATAAGTATGTAAACATAAAAACAAGACTCCTTTTATTGTTCCCTATTTTTATTTATTCCCTACCAGGATTTGTAGCTTCTGCACTGATCTTTGCACCAAAGGTTTATGGCATATGCCGTATATGTATTAAAAAGCCAGATGCTTTAAAAAAAAAAAATTAAGTAGGTTCAGGTTTTTTTCCATGAGTTAAAGCAATTGTGGTCACATATGTAGGCAATTTCTGCAGCTCTAATTCATAAAATAAAAGATGACAAATACATAGCGCTATATGCCCCATAGCCTATACAATGAGCATAAGCAGTTAAGGTGCTTGGACTATCCCTTTAAGAACTAGACTGCAATAAATGTTGTCATTGTGTGATAGAGAAGTTTCATCTGAAAGACTATTCGGATAAAAAGCTCCTACATTTACACAACAATAACTCGAAAACAAAACACATCGGGATAAAGCAAACACAACGTACAGAGAGATTTAAGAGAAGATATTTTGCAAGCAAAAAAAGAAATGTATTGGCTTTGCCTTGTTCCAGATGTTTCTGATCACTTATTCATTAAAGGAAAATTCATTAAAGGAAAATGATCATTTCAACACATTCGATTTTGCAAAGTTTATATAAGTAATAAAGGTTTTGCAGTTAGGGATTACATTGCCAGGAAACATTAATGCTGTCTGACAAATCAATCTCTATAGATTTCATAGTCTTCCTTTTCAAACAAAACTACAAACCATAAAAACTACTCAAGGGAAGAACACAGTTTCTTTTGCCATTTGAAATCCGCATGTGGGAGTGAAAGCACGTAAGCTGCCAATTCATGTTTCAAAAGAATGTTTACGCTTACTTGGCATTAACAGGAGTTGATAAGTTAGTATAAACTTCCCAAACTGGGCACGGTAAAACATAAATCCTGACTATTTGCACAGCACAACAACTGTAACAACTATGACCTACAGCAATACAGAAGAGATGTATTTTGTTTTCAGCATGACCCACCCTGTATGCGAATGTGTACTTCCAGATGGATGTATTTGTTTATGTGATGTCTCTCACTGCAAACACCACTTTGCAGAGACAAAAACAAACATACTGTAGCTCTTTGGGAATTTATGAGTCAAATGCACCTGCAATCCTATGTGACTCGCATGTGACTCCCGTGGCCACCACATTGGTAGTTGTAGGAGCAGAGTTATCTTCTCCTCTTGGTATATTATAACTTCTTTAAATATAACCTATGCTTGGACATTTAATGATGAAAGTGGATCTTGGAAAGTTCAATATACCATTCTCCTAACCATTTCACATCCCTTCTTTGCCACTATGTATGAGGAGGGACCAGCCAAGTTATTCGATTCTGTAGTGTAATCATGTTTCCTAGAGTGTTTTAACAAACGGGCAACGGAAGAGAGGCACCCAAGATTGGGGTAGAAGATGGAAGGTTGAAATCTATTTTTCAGACCCCAACTTTATCACTATCCATATAATGACATCATCAACATATTTTTTTTTCTCTACATTATTATGCTACTACCTTTTTTAATAATACATTAAAAAAAAATACCAATATTCACCAGAGCTTGCGAAACTTTGATATAGTCTACTTCACTTGTACCAACTCCTATATAACTGATCTTCTACATTTCCAGAAATACCAAAGCCCCGTTTGTATAATGATAAATTTAATTTGGGGTACCCACTTTTGCCTTTCGAATACACAATTTGGCAATGTGAATGACTTCATAAATGACACTGATTCGGGTTGTATAATTTTCTTGAAATACTTGAAATGGGAAACACGTTACAATTAAAAAAACAAAACCAACAAAGCAGAAGGCGTATCAAAGCCATGTTGAATAGCACTCTTTAGCCATGATGACAAGTGAAAGGCAATTGAATCTATTGGCCTCACCTGCCCAGGCTCCAGACCTCAATACCACACAATGTGAATAAGACGAAGATTTTAAAAAAACAAACAAAAAAAAACAAAAAAAAACAACACTTTTCAAAGCTCTTTACACAACTTTGAGGTGTGTCTCGGATCATTACCTGAAGAATGAATGACTGTCCATCTAAACTCAATCCACTGGAAAGACATACCTTTCAATTGTCACATAATCTCTATGCTGGTTATAATTTCCATGGATTTACCAACACTGTAGCTGTAGATTGCTGCTTCTGTTATCATCACTGTGACTTTTTTAGGATACAGAGTAAATATGAACAAACAAAAATGATATAAAAATGGAAAAAATCATTTTGCAGTTTTTGTGACAATGGTCAAAAAAACCGCTAAAGAATAATTATATATCTGTTTCACAGCTTACAATATTTGGACCTCATGGGATGCTTTTGATGAAACAAGGGCGTTGTTTTTATCCTGTTTAAATAAATAAGGAAATGCTGTTTTGTAGGAAACAGTTATTTTTAGCGGTTTGTTTATAGGGTATAAAAAAAGTTGAATTTGGTTGTGCATTTTCATCATGTACACAGAAAGATCTAACATGTTGAAACAAGTTATAAAAATGAAAAATAATAACACGTGAAATGTAGAGAGGCAGTTACAAAATAATGCCAGCCAATAACATCCAATATATGGATATTGTATATTGGCATTGCATAGAATGAGCTCAACTTTTTTATTATTTATTATTATTTACACTAAGAAACTGTTTAGCATATAGCACATTTTAGATAACTTCCAGATGTATCGTATAAATAAAAGCATGCAAAGACCATAATAGAATAAAATATTCGTACTGCCACTAAGCTTTATTCCACCACTCTCTAATGCCTTAATATGTCCCACACAAATGTTTGTATGTGTCACAAGTTGCTAATACTTGCATCCATTATTACAGGTTTGTATCCCTAATGCTATGTATATTATTATTATTATTATCGCCATTTATATAGCGCCAACAGATTCTGTAGCGCTTTACAATATAATTAGAGGGGGGATTTAGCTATAAATAGGACAATTACAAGAAAATGTACAGGAACCATAGGTTGAAGAGGACCCTGCTCAAACGAGCTTACATTCTATATTGTTCCTATAAAGTATTTTTTAATCTTCTAGTTTACAAAGTCACAGAGTAGATTATTGGACACCTGCCAATTGTGTCACTCTAAAGCCCTTGTCCTGTCAGTTTGACAATATGTTTAGTTTTCTACTCATAAACGCTAGCCTTAGATGCCCTAACAAAAGCATTCGAGGGGTTCAGGAACAGATATTCGGTGGCACTGCAGTTGCATGGGAAGACAATCAACATGATAGTCCAAAATCCAAGGTCATGACTCATTCTTCAGCCGCCCAAAGGAAGCAATTTTTCCCCAAAAGTAAAACCAGATTGGATTGGCAATTAGGACAGTGATCACTAACAACAGACATTTGTAAAGTACATTTCTCATGATGCTCAGCCAGTCAAAAAGTTTAGCGGCTGGCTGCATATCAAAGGAAATGTATTTTACGAGCATCAGCCTTGCCAAGTTTAGCCATAACTGGATTAAACATTTGCCTTTAGCAGGCTGAGCAATGTACTGAAGGACACTGAAATATTAAAACAGATAAACTATTATGAAGAAGATCTCTTTACTTTGCATAGAAACTGGACAGACACCATCTATTGGTTGACTTTTAAACCCTTCACAATCTACACCACAATCACGTTTGTCACTATTTTAGTAAAAGGCACACAAAAGAATAATAATATTGTATTATTCTGTTTAATTCTATTATTAAATTAACATATTGCTGCTCATAACAACCCCTATTTCCCCAAACTTTCTCAGATGACTTAGTAGTCAAAACGTAATAATTAGTGATCCAATCTCACATCTTTAATAAATTTAATTAGATTAGCACAGGCAAGAGCAGTATATTGCCTTTAACCTGAAAGATAGACTGACTATGCCACAACTTGATAACTCTTTTACAATATAATAAGCAGTTTCCTTTAGCAATTTCCAATTATGCTAAGGGAAACTGCTTATTATATTGTCATTGTTTTGTGACGTTTATTGCATAAACCATAAGCCCCTTAAAAAATCAATCTTAGTACGAGTTGTAACATATGGTAAGCCCTTGTATACACAAACTGGAGTTAAATGGCAGAGAAGTGATCAGAGAGACTTGATCATTGTCTATACACAAAAACTGCCTTTTTAAGCTAACTACGTTTTGGTGACTGTGGTGTAGTGTCCCTTTAAGGCTATAACATGCATGCTGCTAAACCTGAGAGATAAACATTGAATTCTGCTCTTTCCATATCTGGGACGTTTGGTTTATTTGCCCAAGAAAGTTAGAAACCAATACCACTCACAACAAACACACATCTTGGATGTTGCCTGCAGTGCTTGCATTCCAAGTCATGAGACACGGAACACGTAGAAGAGCCTTTTAAGTGGAATAGGCTTCTTACAAACTCTGTGACATAACTAGAATATTTAAGTCGTGGGTGGAATAATATTATATACAACCTGTAATTACATCAGATACTCTGTGTTGTGATCTAAACTGAATCTCTTAAAACAAACCTACGGCTCATTGGTGATCCACTACAACTATTTTAGATTGAAATACTGCATAATTTATCTAAACAATGGGATACTCTGTTATTTTAAAATATGACAAAACAGCATTCTATTATGTGTATAATAAAACCTACACCCCAGGGTTGATTTGAAAAGTAGTAAATAGAGAAATCTTTTTGAAAAAAATTTGATACTTTTCTTCTTATAGTTTTCAAAGCTGAAGCTATCTACTCCACTGTGTAACTCTATCAACTGACCTGGCATAGATACTGGTTTTACTTTCGCTCAGCCAGAATTCATGCCCTGGAAGCTTATTACAGACCGGACAAAGTTTACTCCTTTACAAATGTTCTTATTCACTGCATGGTAGGGACGCATAAAAAAAATGGTCTGTCTGGTTATAAAACATGAATAAATAAAGAACATTCTAAATTTACTGGGGATGAGGCCTTTTGACCTATTTTTATACTCTGTGGTAATTCAACACTGCATTAAAGGGACACTATAGTAACCAGAACAACTACAGCTTAATGTAGTTGTTCTGGTGAGTATAATAGCTCCCTTCAGGCATTTTCATGTAAATACTGCCTTTACATTGCCCCTAGGGACACCTCCAAGTGGCCACTGGAGGTGCTTCCTGGCTCAGGGCTGCACAGTAAGCAACCCTGCCATTCAGCGTCCCCACGCTCTGCATGGAAACACTGAATTTTCGTCATAGAGATGCACTGATTCAATGCATCTCTATGAGGAGGTCCTGATTGGCCAAAACGGCATTTGGCCCAGCCCCATGCCGATTTTAGCCAATCCAATGCTTTACCTATGGGAAAGCATTGGATTGGCTAAAAATCAGCCATTTCGATGACACAAAGGGGGCAGAGCCAGCACCGGCGTAGTCATGTGGTGCTGGAAATAAGGTGAGTTTTAAACTTTTATACCGGGTTTAGCACTATAGGGTCATAAATACATGTTCATGTTCCTGACCCTATAGCGATCCTTAAACAAGTGGTTATGTTACTGGTGTTGGTAGAAACCTATCAAGTCTTGACTTAAAGGGACACATTTCGTCTCACTGAATTGGTTATAGTCCTCGAAGTCCCCAGGTGCTGTCCCTCCATTTTTAAGCAGTTTAAACAAAATAAGGGTCCCTGGCTCATACATTATGTTCCTTATCAGATTTAATGGCCTGGAATATTACTTTAAAAGCACAGATCATACAGAAAGGTTGGCAGTAGTAAAAATAAAGGCAATTGACGTGGAAACAGATCTAAGGGGTACTTTATGTCTTGGTAACTTAAATTTTTAAATATACATTTTGAGTTACTGTAACTTATACATTCTGATACATCTGATGTTACTTTTAAGTAGATGATATATAGGTTGTATACTGCTGTTGCTTTTCAATCAACTCTCAGCCCTCCAAAATTTATAAGACTGTATCAAGTGACCTTTCATTGGATTCCTAGCATTTATCAGATTAATTCCTATCCCACGCAAATGAGATAATGTACTAAAACTAGCTATCTAAGGGTTAATTATTTTGCTACATGCATTTCTGCACAATGGCATGAGTTTGAAACTACAATAATATGCTGCTTTTAAGTATACATAATCTCCCAGGGTAATGAAATGCATTTGACCTACTTAAAGAAGAACGAGCTGCAATGTCTACATTTATTACTTTTGGTTGTACTGATGGTGCATCGAACAATTCATCTTTTTCTCACTCCTTTGGAAAACACGAGTCAAAAATAGCCAAACGTGATACAGAGTGGGTGAAGTTCTCAACTCAATTATTATGGTCTAAAATCTGCAAATTCAGTTTTCACGTAGAAACAATTCATTCTAGTGAATAAACTCCTAAGTGGAACAGTGTTCAAAGTGCACTTGAAAAAAAGTATTTATGCTAGTGTCATCAGCATGTCTTATGGAAAAATATCCCTAAATAAACTGTATTCAAAGTTTACACCCCATGAGAGATGAAAGAGGCTTACATAGATTTTTCTTTTTTTTTTAAATAGAATAAATGCATAATGAGAATATATGGTAGTAGAAGGATTGGCGATAAGATATCTGGGTTCACATGAGCGCAAATGTAAGTGTATTCCCTTAGATAATACAGATGCTTAGTCATGGACTGGTACTGACTGCATGAGGAAATTATGCATTTATTTTAGCATTCTCTTGGAATTTTCGGAACCTGTACGATGAAGGTATTAATGAAATCATATCATGTTTTCATTTCACATTCACTTTAGTATTTTGATCTCACGTAACCGTAGTCTGTAAACCAAAATTTGTATTTTACATTAGTTTTTGCATAAAAAAATGACATGTAATGGTCACATTAACCTATGTGTAGTGATGTCCCGAACGGTTCGCCGAACAGTTCGCCGCGGACTCATCATTGAGTAAACTTTGACCCTGTACCTCACAGTCAGCAGACACATTCCAGCCAATCAGCAGCAGACCCTCCCTCCCAGTCCCTCCCACCTCCTGGACAGCTCACTAAGAATGCAGCTTCACAATGGATGTAAAATGGATGCTGTCCAGGAGGTGGGAGGGTCTGGGAGGGAGGGTCTGCTGCTGATTGGCTGGAATGTGTCTGCTGACTGTGAGGTACAGGGTCAAAGTTTACTCAATGATGAGTCCGCGGCGAACCGTTCGGGAAATCACTACCTGTGTGACTTTTAAACTACTTATACCTGCAGACCAGATCTTGAGCAGGCTATTAATGACTACTTTGGTAAGCAAAACACATATACTATTCATTCAATAAGTGAAATGATCATATTATTTTATAACACCATACACCATTCCAGTTGTCAAAATGACCTGACGACACCCATTGTATGTCAAGAGATCCATGGGAAAGGGACGTCTGGGACCTGTGCCCTGTGGCATTTCTTTTGCTTATGCAAAGCTTGTAATAGCGATGTATTAGGCACAAACCAATGGCAGATAATTGATTTCAGATTAAATCATTCTTGTATCTTTGCTGCAGCTTATCTTGTACCCTGCTTTTATTTACCACTCTAGAGCTTTATGCTTATCCCTTCTTTTCATTCCAAATGTGGAAAAACCTGTTGAAATGACACAGTAAATAAACATTGGGATGAAACCAGCCTTTAGTCCCAAATAAACATGTTTTCCAAAAATAGAAAAGGATTTTGATCTGAATATGAAAACATGGGGCCTATTTTGATTTATATTTCTTTGTTGCACTTTAATATGAAACTACTCTAACTTTAATTTTTACACATTATATTGTTTGAGATAAAGAAAACATGTGTTGAGCTAATACATATATATCGGTTATTACATTGTCAAACTTACACATATATCGGTTATTACATTGTAAAAAATTTAAAAATAAGTTTTAAAGAATTGAAATAGAACCATTGTCTGTCCAAAAATAACCCAATAACAAGCACGTGTCATATTATTAATGCAGTTGGCATTTTGATAATTATTATTATTTTATTATTTATATAGCGCCACCAAATTCCGCAGCGCAGTACAATGGGTATAAAAAAATGTAAATAATAATAAAAATGTTATCACCACTATATGAATGAATCATCCCTGCAACAGCGCAAATGACTTAAGGCCTTATTCGCTAGAGATAGTGATGAATTGATAAATAGGTTGCTAAAAGTTTGACCAAATTAACTAAAATAAAAATAATACAGTTCGAGAATGTTTTTCTAGCTTTCCTATTTTGGCCCACATTTGGCAAAAGCTCTGTTTAGAAAGTAAAAATATGAATCAGGAACCTGGACAAACAGAAAGGCACCGTGATTACATCTGAGCAAAGTGCAAACAACTTTGCTAGCCTTGAAATATCAGCAGTAAAACAGCCACAATCCAGATATATAAACCACTGGAAAAGAATTATATCATTTGTTGTCCAGCAGGCTTAGAAAGTTTGCACTAGAAATGCTATAGGAGATACCTGATTTCAAATCTGACAGTGAGACTAAACATTTTAGATCCAGAATGTGTGCACAGCTTATAGCCATGCATAGCGAAGATCACTTTTGTGTGCTTTATGAAAGTTAAAACTGCGTTGATGGAAAAAGTCCTTAGGATGCTGTGAGACAAAGTGCTTAAAGTTTGCCATTTATAAATTATCTCTATTTTGGTAACTCAATCTGACAAATGATAGTAAGCTGTGCATTGTCAAACTAACTACATGAGATAGAACATACACCCTTATTACACAATTATCGAAATACAAAGATTTATAATAACTTAGTATAAAAATTAAAAAATAAAATGTTTTGCCTTTTTCCTAAGATGCTTTATTGTAATTTTTACATTTTTTTTACATTTTTATATTTTGGTGTAATTGTCAGTTTAAGGGGGGCCATCAGTTGCCCCAGATTTTGTTCTTGTTTTATAGTATTTAGATAGGTTTTTTTTTTTTAAAGCATTATCCCTCTCAACTTTATAGAATATTCCATAGAACATAAATATCTATGCATAGAAACGACAAACAATTGGGTACTTCCTATCTTTCATCAGTCTAGTCCAGTTCTAATGCAGTCAGTGAACTGGGGTTTTAAGATATCCTATTGGATTTGCAAAAACCAATTGGAATTTGAGTCCATTCCCTGTACAGAGAAGGGGTGGGGTGTCTGACGGACTGAGCTATTATAGCGATAAATGTGTTAATGTTCAAGAATTTGGGCAATCACCATAAAACCATGGTGTCTACGGTTTCCTCAACTTTTAAAACTTGATCCTACATTTTTATCCATTACATTTTTAAAACTGGAATCTGGTTTTAACACCAAAATTTCTACTATAAAACATACAGATGTGCTTGTCTGCCTTTTTCATACACAGTCAATCAATATAGCCTGTGCACTGTTACTGCTTCATTTAACAAATCTACATTTCCATTTGATATGTCAGCCTTGAATGAAAACTGACTGGCGGTTTTGCATACTCTAGAAAGACAAGGAAGATCAGCGGGTTGGACAATTTCCAATGCACCTTGTTTATCTTCTTGAAGGATATGAACTGGACTTAAGAGCTTCGATAAGAATTAATATCTTTGGCACCTACAACGCTGGACTATGTACCTTAACTCATTGCCGCACACAAGGTCATTCAACAGATGTGGAATAGAAAATATTTGTGATCATTATAGACCGGAGGTGAGGTTTTACCTCTCACCCGTGGCACATTCCTACTTTGATGGTAACCTTTGCAATCTAGAAACTTTTTAAATGTACTTAAACCTACTGCACGTCAAAGTCATTTTGTGACATTGGCAAATGTGCTATCATCTACATGATATTTTGACGTACAAAATGCATGTATACACACAGATACACAAGCAAAAACATGCAATAACATCCCCCCACACACACGAAACTCATGTTTTATACATTTCGATTTATCATTTGTATACAAATAATTTAGCGAAGTTGTCTGTCCTATTGGCACAACACCCAATGTTTTCATTTTATCAGCTATACTTAAACAAATGGTTAGTCACAGGTCGCTATGTCACTTTCTTGTGTTTATTTAAAGGAATACCTAAGCTTTACTCTGATTCACTAGGACACCCTCGAACTTGTTTTTCCCTAAACTCAGCTCAAAATTTTCAACATCTATTGACCACAATCATATATCAAACTCTGCTGTCAGGTTCAATATTGACCAGAATTGTTTAAAAGAATGGTTTCACTAAATCAGTGCTACCACCAGACTGTTATATTAAGCAACTGGAAGCCAGAACCCTTGCTTGCATTCTACTGTGACAGACAGTTCCAAGACTTTCATTCCAATTCTCCATAACAGCGCTTTGGTATTCATAATTGCAGAGGGCTCAAATGCATGCGCTGATACAATCATCAGTTATGTATGCTTTATTCTACACGCTTGAATTTTTTAACACTTCAGGGGAATTATTTATATTCTGGAATTTACTTAACATCCTTAAAGGTAAACGCCACCTAGGAGGCAGATTAAGTAACGTGCGTTGATTTTGCAATGCAAATAGAGCATAAACAGAACTGCAGTGGATGCCTAAATATTTTATGGACACATGTTTAAGAAAGCATTAAGATTTAAAGAGTTTGTCTATGAACATACACACACACACACATTACTGGCTATGACAATGTTAATTATTTACTGACAATAGATATTCTATCCCTGTCTAGAAGTGCACCGATCAATATCAATAGCTACAGGGTAAAACAATTGGATTTCCACTTGTGCCAGTTATTCCAATTACTTGAAATGCTTCAGATGTCCCATTGCACTCTAGTGAACCACCACAGTCTCTATTAAACTCAGTTATATGCTACAGACCAAATTGTGAATTACCAAATCTAAGACCACAATAGTCAAACTGGTAATATTCTCCACCTTCTTTATAGTCTTGATTTGGCTATTTTGGCCTATAATGTGAAATTAACTTTGAGTAAATTTTGAATTCCCAATAATTCACACTTTTCTAAATAATCCATAAAGTCTACAAGTTTCCACAACACAGGGACGCCTAAAAGTGTGCATTGATTGAACTGTAGAGGTAACAAACTTGCAATCTGAGCATTCCAGAAAACTACTGTCATAAATAATGATTAAGAAAAAGGAGAGACAGCCAAAGGCCAAATTAAAGCTTCTCCAGCCTTAAGGCAAGCTCTTATCAAGCCATAGACATATAAGTGCATACTGTACAGAAAGCTGTAGGCTGCACTCAACCAGTAAACAGCACGAGTATCTCTGTGTAATAGAAATCTCAGACACCACCACTAACGCACTCTACAGATAGACAGAGATTTATATTTTTAACTAGTCTAAAATCAGTTGCGACAGCAGCATACAAGCAAAACAAAAAAATACAAAACAAAACAATACACAAAAATGCAAAAAACAACTTAGAATTCTTCTTATTTTTACTCAGGCTACAGGGCCAGCACTGTAACCGCACTGACAGTCCTGAAACTCACTGGCAACTTTGAATATAGCTGAGATATCACAGGGCACTGTGTAATTTTCAGACCTGCTTCCTATGAGCAATGTAAACAGTCTAAATCGATTGCAAAAGCAGGATATGTATAAAACAAGACAACGCGTAATAAAAAATCACTACACACAATACGAAATGCCAAAATAAACAACTTCCTTGGAATTCTCATGTCTTTGCCCATATCCAGCGGGCACAGGGTCACCTCTGCAAAGTAAGCGCACTGTCAGCGCAGGGACTCACTGCCAATAACTTTTTTTCAGATGGCTAAAAAAAAATCACTATATTTTGCACTTTGTGATTTTGTAATTGTATGTGCTTTCCTATGTACAATGCAAAATCAGTTAAATATTTTAAAAACAAAATCGCACAAAACACTAAACACAATACAAGACACAAAAAAAATAATTTAAAAAATGTACTAAATTTGAATTTCTTTGCCCATTTTCAGCTAGGATTTCCCCAGTGCCAGGCTGCAATGTGAGTGCACTCACAGTACTGGCACTCAGTCCTAACTTGGTAGAGGGAGATGCGCTCAACAGCTGTCTGAACAGCAGCTTCCCATGTACAGAATCCAGTATTCTCAGCAAGCACCATCATGACTGCGCTGTCTTGACATGCAGGTTATAAAAGAACTTTATGTCAACCCTTGCCCTTTGCTTTAGCAAACATCTGACTTGCAAAGATTTTCCTGTGTTCTTGCAAATAGCAATGCTAATGAAATGCTAACAATATTCAGACCAGCAATGGATTAGTGCAATAATGCCCCTGTTTGTGCAAGGTACACGGTGTGTGCACTCCATTCACCCCCTGTATACGTCTTGCACGGCAGGGATTGTCCAGATACTTACTTTTGTCTTCTTCATAAGGAAAAGATGAAGCAATCCAGCCCAGGTATCTTGGATAATATCCTTTTATCTGTCGTGGAGCCCCAGCATATTGGTGCTAATCCGTGCATTGGGGTTTTCTGGTAGTGAGGGTGTAGTGAGGGAATGACTGCTCAGCGCTGCGATCTCCGTGTGATCCTGACCCCAGCCAGCCTGCCAGCCTGCCTGAATGCCTGATAGATAGTGAGTGCACTCTGATCCTCAGCCTGGGTTATAAGGACTTCCCTCCTCCAGCCGCCAGGGCTCTAGCCACGCCTGCCCCTCCTTCCCATCCACTGCCGCCGTGTTAACACGTTAGAATCCCTAGCATCCTATGTAGCGAGTGCAGGGCAGCAATGCCAGGACCGGGGAAGCCAGGATTCTAAACTGTTTGGAGTTTTACCTTCACTGTATCTTCTAATAAACGAATGTCTTCACACAGTGTCTCTAGTCTGTTGCTAAGCTATGCTGCTTGATTCTGACGAAAGATTCCTGTTACTATCTATCTATCAATCCATATATCTATTATTATTATTATTATTATTATTACTGGTACCTATATAGCACCAGTATTTCCGTAGCGCTTTACAATATTATCAAAGGGGGAGACTTAACAATAAATGAGACAATTACAAAAACTTACAGGAATGATAGGTTGAAGAGGACCCTGCTCAAACGAGCTTACAATCTATAGGAGGTGGGGCGAGCTTACAATCTATAGGAGGTGGGGCGTAAAACACAACAGGACAGGCGATAGCAATCAAACAAGGTGGGAGTGAAGCAGAGCTGGAGGAGAGTGTGGAGTTCTGCCTTTTAGAAGAGAGAAAGGGACAGGTATGTGAGGTAGAGGTTACTCTGGGAGGCTATCTATCTCTCTGTCTATCCATCCATCTGTCCTTTATCTATCTATCTATCTATCTATCTATCCCGGTCTGCCCAGGATTATTGAGTGTTACACTAAACGTTAACCCCTCCATTACTCTAACACTAACCATTAACCCCTACAGTGCCTTAACACTAACCCAAGATGAAGGACGGGCATACTGAGCTAAAGACAGATGATCGATCAATCGATAGATAAATAGATAGATGGAAAGATCATATTATAATTTTTTCACTGTGCATTGAAGTCACACTGCACATTTAAAAATGTAATACAGGATGTGACTGCAACTGTTCAATATATCCTATAGAATGTAAGCTCGTTTGAGCAGGGTCCTCTTCAACCTATCGTTCCCATAAGTTTTCTTGTAATTGTCCTATTTATAGTTAAATCCCCCCTCTCATAATATTGTAAAGCGCTACAGAATCTGTTGGCGCTATATAAATGGCAATAATACTACTACTACTACTAATAATAATATGGGGTCTGCTATTCATAGGACACAAGTTGTCCTCAAACAGCTTGTCAGCTTGTAACCTTTTCCTTACAGCTCTGCTGCCCAGCACTGATCGGGTGGTGGTGGTGCCTAACAAGAGGGGGGCAGTGCCTATCTACAGAGCACCTGGCTGGTCTGCAGCCACCCAGAATAGGCTCTGCCACCACGTATGCACCCTGGGTCAGCCGCACAGCCAGCTACAGTATTAGTTGCACCGCTGGGTGTCAGGAGTGTCTTGCATAATCCTAGGGTATGTTTTCAAATCTATTGAGAATGGTTTCACAGCTTACCTGAGAGTCTGCCAAGTGCCCACCATCACCTACTCAGCAGTCAGAAAAACTCTGTCCTGCACTGATCCCAGCATTGCGTGGAGATGCTCAGTGGCTGAGAGAACTTAGCTGTCACTCTCAGTCAATGAGTCTGCCCTGCACAGTAGGGCGTAGCTTAATGGAGCTAAGAAAAGCACCTGAAAAAGCTTCCTGATTTAAGGACGTGTCGGTGGATACCTGGTGGACCCAGGTAAGTTGCCAAACCATTCTCAAAGAGTTTGACTACGTGCCCGGGGAGGGTACCAGGGCACTCCTGGCACCATAATCACCACAATAGTGCTTATGGTGTTTAGAGTTGTCCTTTAAGGACTCCAGCTGAAAAATAATCTGTTGTTCAGGACAGCAACTCCCACCAGTCTAAGCTGAACGTAAACCATAATTCTGTAAGAAAAAAGTTATGATTAAACACAAAAATAAAAAAGTGATAAAACATCACTCCAATTGCCCCCCAAAATAAGGAAAGAAAGTAACTGTAGCGAGTGTGTTAAAAAATTATAAGCTTAGAGTCATGTCTACAAATGCTCGCAATTTAGGAAATAAGATCCATGAACTTGTGGCAATAATGGCAACTGATAGTGTAGATTTAGTCGCTATTACTGAGACATGGTATAATGAGAAAAATGACTGGGATATAGCAATACCAGGGTACTCTTTATATAGAAAATACAGAGAAGGCAAGAAAGGGGGAGGGGTGATCCTGTATGTGAAGGATAGCATAAAATCTAGCCTAATAAAATATAGTGAGGCAAACATAGAACATGGGTTACGTTAGCATTTAATAATCACACAGTAACTCGTGTAGCTGTGATTTATAGGCCGACAAAAAGATAATATATAGGTTGCGCTAAATAAACAAAACGAAATGAAACAAATATATATTAAAAAACAGGAAAAATAATCCCAGTGCTAAAAGTCTATAATAAAACCTGTAGAAATGCTTGAGTATGGGATGAGTCCAATGGGTAGCTGGGTCTTCTGATGTTGAAGATATCTCAATTCAATAGTAGGTATATGAACATGTAAGAGAGACAGAGAAACTCCAATGGTGTAGATTACAAATCGACAAATTGATAGATAAGAATTCAAACAACAGATGATCCACTCACCTATTTATGAGCATAAACTTGCTGAAGTGGTTATAGCGTTCAGTGGTGTTGATCCCCCACTGGTAGGATATAGGTGATGATGATAAGATGAGCTGCTCGGTATATAGAGAGATAAGAAAACGATATAGTGCTCACTGAATTAATGGAAAAGTCAATGGATAAAAGCGATAAAATACTCACATATATATGAGCAGGATATACTGCTCAATATGATAGCATAGGTGGTATTATCCCCACCTAGGATTCTTGGGCAAATGTGTGCTCCGATGTAGCAGGTACCAGGTGTAAAATAAAAGATGAAATAATAAAAAGGTATATAAAGGCTAGTAAAAAGGGCCAATATTCCTTTATTAATAGTAACAGAATAAATATATATAACAAATGTAAAAACAGCCAAAACGCGTTTCGCCTCACAGGGCTTTCTCAACTGGCAATAAAAAAAGAGACAACCTGGTACATAGATACTTTTATAAACTATCTGAGCATATGCAAATTCAAAATTTGGCGCCAAAATGACATCATCATTAAAATACAGAAATACAAAGAAAAATACAAATCTTAAGGATATTCATAATATAATGATCTAGGAGTGATCCAAACTGTTTGGTATACTTCATTATTAAAAATGAACATTATATAAATTAAACAATAAAATGAATGGATTCACGTGATCGCGCCCTCTCACGGTCACGTAGTGTGGCTAGGAGGACTATGGGAAGTGTATGCTGAACGTCAAAATGCTAGATGACAGCATTCTGAGCGGGGAGTAATAAAGATCACGTGATCGCGAGCTACCGATTTATAGGCCCCCTGGACAAATAGCAGTGTTAGAAAATCTACTAGCTGAGGGAATAGCTAAAATGACAATGAAGGGGGAAGTTATCATCATGGGTGACTTTAATCTTCCTGATGTGAACTGGAAAACCAAAACAGCTGCTTGTGCCAGGAGCACACATATTCTAAACTCCCAACTGGGATTGCCTCTAAAACAAGTCATTGAGGAACCAACTCGTAAGGAGGCCATACTAGATTTAGTGTTAACAAATGGAGATTTGGTATCAGATATTACTTTAGGTGAAAGTTTAGGATCCAGTGATCATCAGTCAGTGTGGTTTAATATAAGTAAAGTGACAGAGTCACACCACACAAAAACAAAAGTTTTAGATTTTAGAAAAACAGACTTTTAAAAAATTAGAATATGTGTTAAAGAGTCATTATAAGACTGAAGCAGTTTAAATGGAGTCCAGGAGAAATCGGATTATTTAAAAGTTGCACTACTGAAAGCAACAGAAAATTCCATTAGGCTTGTCAGGAAGAACAGAAAAATTAAAAAACCACTGTGGTACTCCGCAGAAGTGGCCAAAATAGTAAAAAGAAGTGGCATTTAGTAATTATAAAAAAAAACAGAGTGAGGAAGATAGACAGATCTATAAGATTAGGCCTAAAGTGGCAAAGCAAGTTATAAGAGCCTCCAAAGCACACACAGAAGAGAGAATAGCACTGACAATAAAAAAGGGGGATGAAACATTTTTTAGATACATAAATGAGAAAAGAAAAGTAAAACAAGGATTAGTTAGATTAAAAACAAAAAAAGGAAGGTATGTAGAAGAGGATAAAGGTCTAGCTGACTACCTTAATGAATATTTGTGTTCAGTATTTATAGATGAAAATGAAGGAGATGGACTTCAGTTAAGAAAAAGGAAAAATGGGTAATTTGGTATATGTGAGTTTACAGAGGAAAAGGTTCTACTTCAACTGTCAAAAGTAAAGACAAATAAGTCGATGGGGTCTGATGGGATACACCCAAAGTTATTAAAAGAACTTAGTGGTGTACTAGCAAAACCATTTACGGATTTATTTAACCAACCATTACTAACAGGAGTAGTCCCAGAAGATTGGAAATTAGCAAATGTTGTACCCATTCATAAGAAAGGTAGTAGGGAGGAGTCTTGCAACTACAGGCCAGTAAGCCTTACTTCAGTAGTGGGGAAAGTGATGGAAACCATGTTAAAGAACAGAATTGTTGAACATCTAAAATCACATGGATTTCAAGATCAGAGACAACATGGGTTTACTTTAGGCAGATCATGCCAAACTATTCTTTTTGATTTGTTTGATTGGGTAACTAAAATAATAGATCAGGGTGGTGCAGTAGACATTGCTCACCTAGATTTCAGTAAGGCTTTTGACACTGTTCCACATAAAAGGCTCATCAATAAACTGCAATCTTTAAGTTTGGATTCCAATATTGTTGAATGGGTTAGGCAGTGTCTGAATGACAGGCAACAGAGGGTTGTAGTGAACGGAGTATATTAGAAGTAAGGTCTAGTTACCAGTGGGGTACCTCAGGGATCTGTACTTGGACCCATTCTCTTTAATATTTTTATTAGTGATATTGCAGAAGGTCTTGATGGTAAGGTATTTCTTTTTGGCTTGTCCCCTTAGGAGGGATAAGCCAAATGCCAAATGATTTAGGTAAAAAAGAAAAATGGTTGTGGCAGCTGACAT